GTACTGAGTTGAATAGGATCCAAACTGCAGCAGTCCTAGAACAATAGGATCCAAATTGCAGCAGTCTGATTGGTCCTAGAACAATAGGATTCAGAATGCAGCAGTCTGATTGGTCCAAGAACAATGCAGCAGTATGATTGGTTGGCAGGAACCACCCAATCATGCTCCAGATATAAGTGAATCCACAACCTGATTGGCTTACAGTAGAATTCCAGAATTAACCAATCATGTGCAGCCCATTGTGTAAATAATGTATATAAAGCAGATACTTTGAGGGGACATTCATTCATTCCTCCTCACCACTATGAGCTGAATAAAGAGCATGAAATCACTTTGCGACTCTGAGTATATTTCAAGGGGAGAAGGGATCCCAGATCGGTTCACTGCTTCCCGCTCTGGGAGCATTGGCTATTTGACCATCACCAACATCCAGGCTGGAGATGAGGCAGTTTATTACTGTGGTAGGTGGAATACGGCTGGTATCGTGTTCCACGGTGGTACAATCTGATGGGGAACTGAGACAAAAACCTAGCCTCTTCCTCCCAAGAGGGGTGAAATGTGAATGCTGTAGAAGAACTTCACATGATTTGGGTGGCTCTGCAGCAGTTGTCAAGTCAACCCTACCGTGGAAAGATCAGAAAGCGACACAAGGAATTCAGAAAACCCTTGTTTATTATTTCTGTTTGGAAAATTACCACATGCCTCTTCTGTGGCTATGGCAAGGTAGAAGATTCAGATGGTTCGTATCTGTGTTGCATGCAGTGATAAAGGGAGACCACAGAAATATGCTTCTAATTTTTGTGTTGGGGATAATTCAGACAGAAATCCCCAGGTGTCAAAAAATGTTATTTAGCCCAAAAATGGAAATGGAAATGAAAAATGAAATGGAAATGGAAATGGAAAATGAGTGAGATCCCAACTAAAGAAGAATTACAACTAAAGGAGAATGATGGAATATGCGCAGCTTGCGGACCTAACATACAGAATAAGAGAACAAGAAGAACATACGTTTCAAGAAGATTGGAAAATGTTTATTGAATATATGGGGGAAAATTGTGTACACTTGAAAACGTTGGCAGCATTAAGATAAATTCAACAGTGTAAACAAGTTTTGATGGATGTAATAATGGAATGCTGAATGGTTTAGTTTATGTAAAATATGCAGGGATTTATGATATGCAAAATGAACCATGGAAAGAGAAGAAGGGACGTCACTGACATTTTAAGGTTGTAAACAACCTTAAAATGTAAATATATATATATGCATCTAAAACCCAGTTCAGAGCTTCTCATCTTCTTTAAAGTGGGAAGGCAGCACAAGGGAACTGTGGGTGGTGCCAGAGCACCAAATAGCTTGAGCAGGGGTCAGCAAACTTTTTCAGCAGGGGGCTGGTCCACTGTCCCTCAGACCTTGTGGGGGCCAGACTATATTTTGGAAAGAAAAAAAGAATGAATTCCTATTCCCCACAAATAACCCAGGGATTCATTTTAAATAAAAGCACACATTCTACTCATGTAAAAACACACTGATTCCCGGACCATCTGTGGGCCAGATTTAGAAGGCGATTGGGCCGGATCTGGCCCCTGGGCCTTAGCTTGCCTACCCATGGCTTAAAGGGTATGTGTGGCACAGCAGACGCTTTCTCCAGTCTCAATCTGTTTCAGGCGGTGGGAGCTTATTGCTACAAAATGTGACCAGTTTATAGACTTTCCACACATTATGTGGCCGTAAACCTGTTCTGCCAGCAAGTGGACTCTGAACAGGGAACTGCACACAGTCACCTCCCTAAGACTTGAGCCTCTACATGGTGATGGGGGAATCTGTCAGTTTCTGTTTTCTCCCTATTTCTTATTTTTCCCGTTCCGTTCCTCATACTTCCACATCTGCTTGCAATTTCCCCTTAAAGTCCGCATGAAAATTCGCCAGCATCACAATTCAAAGTTCTAGTACACACATGTTTTGTATGCCTCTTTGCCTGCTATACATGGTTTGGCAAAACATCCCCAAAGACAGTATAGTTTGGTATGTTCTTTTCATAGGTATATATGCATTTCCATGCACACATTACTCTAGTACATGCATTGTTGTACACATGAATTGGCTGCTGAACTACCTTGCAAAATTAAGAAAAGTGTGAATTTTTTGAGGACGGCTGTATTTGCACATTGTTTCGGAAAAAGCAGACTTGGCAGATTTGCCTTTCAATGTGATCTGAACACCACCTCCATTTCAAAGAGACTGAATCATAGACTTAAAGAACTGTAGAACTGGAAGAGACCCCCCAAAACCATCTAGTCCAACCCCCTGCAATGCAGGAAACTAAAGATTCCTTGACAGGTGGCTGCTTAGAAACCTCCAATGAAGGTCCACATCTTCAGAGGCCATCCTTTCCACTGTCAAATAGATTTTACTGTCAGGAAGTTTTTCCTAATGTTTAGTGGGGAGCTCCTCTCGTGTCATTTGACTCCACTGGTTTGGGTCCTATCCTCTGGAGCAGCAGGAAACAAGCTTTCTCCATCTTCAGTGTGACAGCCCTTTAGTTATTTGAAGATGGTTTCATATCACCTCTCAGTCTTCTCTTTACCGGGATAAACATACAGAATTCCCTCAACCACCCCTCATAAGGATTGGTTTCCATACCCTTGATAATGGTTGCCCTGCTTGACACTCCAGCTTGTCAATATCCTACTTAAACTGTGGTACCCAGTAGTTACGGTATCATAAATTATCTTGTATCTGAGTATTTTTATTCCTGGTATCTGTCGGTTTCTGTGTCGCAGGAAGCTAGGGGACAAACAGGGGAGTGCAGTGGCTGTGTTGAGAATTGTGTGGTTCTGAGTTCAAATGTCAACCCATGGATTCCACTATGAGAAGTCCACTTCTCCATTCTCAGTTCCCCATGTGCAACAATACAATGTAATCTAAAGCCCTTGAAATTCTCTCTCTCTCTCTCTCTCTCTCTCTCTCTCTCTCTCTCTCTCCATACTTCTTCCTTTGGAGAACTCAAGACAACATAAATAGGATCCCCAAATGGTCTTAAATCCATGGACTGACAGATCCAAGATCTGCCATAATGACATAGACCTAGTGAAGCTTTTGCTGTAATTAATTTATTTGCTTTTAAGGAGTCACAAACTTTCTATTATTTTCTGCAATGCCATCAAGACTTCTAAGCCCTGACCAACTGGGGTGACTCAGAGACACTCCCGGTGGAAAATCCTCACTTTGTAATGATCAAAACAAACCTTATGAGAATTTGGGATCTGACCCCTGTCTCACACCTGTACAGCAGTAGAAAGTTTCATGATAGTGCTGTCAGATGAAGAAGAGAGTCAAAAATCTTCACTCCTCTGTGCCTTCTGTGTTTTGTGATGAAACCTTCTTTATTTGAGGCCTGCTCAGCATCAAATGATCACAAAGACCACAGAGCACATTTGCATGAAGGGGCAGCTCCTCAGCTCTGGGGGATTTAAGAGAGGAGTGAGGAAGTTTCCTTCAGACATTGAAACTCCTCTGGAGAGCTCACCATCATGTCTTCATTCCTCTCTCTCCTTGCTCTTTTTATTTACTGCTCAGGTAAAGCTGTGGAGAAGATCTCATGTTCCATTGGCCAACCAAAAACTAACTTCATTTATCATTTTTATTTATTTGAGAGCACTAAAAATGTTCCCTTTTCTCAATTCTCTTAAAATAGGTGTCACCTGCCAGTCAATTTGCAATCAGCCTGCCTCTGAGTCTGTGGCACCAGGTCAAACCATTAAACTCTCCTGTACTACTAGTGATACTGGTTCCTACATTGGCTGGTTTCAACAGAGATCAGGGCAGGCACCTCGCTTTGTGCAGCGTGAGGGTGGCAGCAGGGGAGAAGGGATCCCTGATCGATTCACGGCTTCTCGCTCTGGGAACATTGGCTATTTAACCATCACCAACGTCCAGGCTGGAGATGAGGCCGTTTATTACTGTTGCAGATGGTATAGCAGTGCTAGTGCGTTCCACAGTGATGCAAACTGATGGGGAACTGAGACAAAAACCTTTCCTCTTCCACCAAAGAGCAGTGAGATGTGAATACTGAAAACAAATTTAATCTAATCTGTATCTACATCTGTTGTCAAGTCCATCCTGCTCTGGATGGAATCAGAATGTCATGAATACACCAGCTCCCAGAGAAGTACAGGCAGATGGAGGCAAAGATGCAATGAATCGATATTTCAGCTCTCTACTGAAGGCTTATCCCTTCCATTCACCATTCCCCCCCTCACTATCCCCCATCCATGAAATGAGAGGCATCAGTGGAATGCGAGGGCAAGTCCCTGCCCGGCAGAAACCCTTGGGGTGGAAACAGAGCCAGTGGAAGGTGTGGCTAGAGGAGACTGGGCATGGCCTAGAGCAGTGGCAGAGTGTGTGTGGGGAATGCGGTGCCTTTTCCACACACAAAATTGTTAGGGGCACAAAATTTGTACACTTTGTGCTGCCACAATACAGCTGCACACTTCCTTCACTGTGCTCGCTTGAAAACAGGTTCTCCATGTGAAGCTGAGCTATCCAGACAATGGAGCGACACTCTTGTCTCTTTTGTTGCAATCTCCTGGGTGATGCAGGGGCCACTAGGCAGCTGCATGTGCATGCGTACTTTTCCGTTTCCCTCCCACCCACCCCCCTGCACTTGGCCCCGGGCGCTGCGACCCATGCTACACCACTGGCCTAGATGGCCAGACACAGTCACTCACAGAGACACATTGCTCTCTGAGCTTGAGGCTCCTTCCAGTAGCTGCTTCCAGAAGCTCCTTCCAGAAGCTGCTTCCAGCAGCTGCTTCCAGAAGTGGCAGATGCTATCAGGTGTTGTCAATGGCTTCTGGCTAATTGCCCAGGAAATCAGAGAGGAAGAGAAAGAGTGAGTTTTCCAATGACGTTCTGTGTGATGCAAAAATCAGGCACTCTCCCTGCCTCTCATCTTCCATTGTTTTTCAAAGTTGTGGCACCTCAGGAGCTCTAGATCCACGCCCCCCACAACTGGACAGAGAGTCAGGGGAGTGAGAGGGAGAGAGGGGAAAAAAATCTCTATAGGCTACTCAATCTCCTGCACCCTGACCCTCAAGTCTGCCTTGATACTGCACCGAGTACCCTGCTGGGCTCAGCTGGGTGAGACCAAATCCACTCTGCTCTCGGAGGCGATTCAACTGGTTTGGCCTAACTGGGCACCGTGCTATAGGGGGTGCCACACCAAAGCTTTAGAGCGGAGCATGAGAAGTGGGGGCATGTGCCAAATTTTAGCATCGCACAAGTCGCTGCTGAAATCTGGGAGCCCAAAGTCCCCCACCCAGATCTTAGTGTTACTGTTCTTGTCACTGTTGCAGGCTGCTTGTCTTTTCATCACCATCTCTGCTCCTCATATGTCAGAAGGTGGCAGCAGAGACTGTGCCTTTTGAAATACCGAGAATGAATGTTTTCTTCACCAGGTTTATGCAACAATTCAAAGCTTAATAATTTTGTACAGCAGAGGTATGGAAACCTGGCTGTCCTAGGTTGTCCATGTTAGAAAAAGATAAGACAAAACAAGAAAAATTCACAGCCTTACTTTAAACTATAAAAAGTTAAGATACAAAGAAAGACTGAACTTTCTAAGACGTTTTAAGAATCATGAGCTCTTTTCATTCCTACACAGTCCTTTGTTTATCTAGCCCGGGTTAGGAATGTTCCCAAGTGAGATGTTCCATACAATAAAAAGCAGTGTTCCCAGGACCCTTCCTGATAGACGTCTCACTCATGACATCCTGGCTGAATTAAGGGCCAGTCCTGCTGCTTTGAATAATCTCCTTATGCAAATCTGCCCTTGGGCTCTTTGATTGAATGTCCCATAATGCTCTACAGGATCTCCAAATCACAACAGAGGCAATAGATGATCGCCGAAAATATTTGCATGAAGGGGCAGCTCTTCAGCTCTGGGCGATTTAAGAGAGGAGTGTGGAAGTTTCCTTCAGACGCTGAAACTCCTCTGGAGAGCTCACCATCATGGCTTCCTTTCTCTTTCTCCTTGCTCTTTTTATTTACTGCTCAGGTAAAGCTGTGGAGAAGATCTCATTTTCCACTGGCCAACAGAAAGCTAATAGCATTTATCATATTTTTTTATTTGAGAACAGTGAAAATGTTCCTTTTTCTCATTTTTTTTAAAACAGGTGTCAACTGCCAATCAATTTGCACTCAGCCTGCCTCTGAGTCTGTGGCGCCGGGTCAAACAGTTAAACTCTCCTGTACAACTAGTGATACTGGCGACGCTGTTCGCTGGTATCAACAGAGATCAGGGCAGGTCCCTCGATTTGTGCAGTATGAGGGTAGCAGCAGGGGAGAAGGGATCCCGGATCGATTCACGGCTTCTCGCTCAGGGAACATTGGCTATTTAACCATCACCAACGTCCAGGCTGAAGACGAGGCTGTTTATCACTGTTGCAGATGGTATGACAGTGTTAATGGGTTCCACGGTGACACAAACCAATGGGGAAGTGTGACAACAACCTTTCCTCTTCCTTTTCCACCAAAGAGCAGTGAGATGTGAATACTGAAAACAAACTTCATCTCATCTGTATTCACATCTGTTGTCAAGTCCATCCTACTCTGGATGGAACCAGAAGAGACAGAAAACTCTGCAGTCCCACCTCCTTCCTCACAGCAGGTCCTTGGAGCTGCCAGCTCAGCACACCCTCAAGTCAGCCCTTGCCAGTGGATGAAAGAGCTGCTTTGGCCTCATTCCAAAAGGAATGAAGAACCCTGGGAAACACCTGGAACCCCTGGAACCCCCCACCACTTGGAGATTGGGGTGGTGTGGAGAAATAGACTTTGTGCCCGCAGTTGCTGTCAAATCCAACTTCTTCTGCCCAGAACTTGTAAGAGATAAAGAGCACATTTGAAGACCCCCCTCCTGCTGCAAAGCAGGACCAGGGACCTCCCAATCCAGACCTCTATCATGTCTGTGCTCAGAGTCAGGACCACCACCTGGGCTGGATGGAAGAAGGAAGCCAAGCAGGTGGGGGCACTTAATCCCATCTGCACCCGTAGGGCTTGTCCACATTTCAGCTTATCCCATTCTGGAAAGCACAGGTACAAGCCATTTTATGTTTGCCCATGTTTTCTAGACATGAGTCGGGCTGGTTTTGCCTTTGCCCCACTGCTTCCCCCTGGAAAACCTGCTCTTCAACCCTAAATCAGAACAACCCGCAATCTTTGGAGAATCCAACTGCCCTTTGCTGCCATTCGGAAGTCAACCACTGGTTTTCCCTGGGGAAAGAAGCAGGGGAAACTGAGCTGTGCTCTTCCTTCTGGATCAAAGACATCGGTTTGGAAAGACTTGTTAGTTTATATCCATTTAGGGACGCGGGTGGCGCTGTGGGTAAAACCTCAGCGCCTAGGACTTGCCGATCGCATGGTCGGCGGTTCGAATCCCCGTGGCGGGGTGCGCTCCCGTTTCTCGGTCCCAGCGCCTGCCAACCTAGCAGTTCGAAAGCACCCCTGGGTGCAAGTAGATAAATAGGGACCGCTTACTAGCGGGAAGGTAAACGGCGTTTCCATGTGCTGCGCTGGCTCGCCAGAGCAGTTTCGTCACGCTGGCCACGTGACCTGGAAGTGTCTGTGGACAGCGCTGGCTCCCGGCCTCTAGAGTGAGATGAGCGCACAACCCTAGAGTCTGTCAAGACTGGCCCGTAGGAGCAGGGGTACCTTTACCTTTATCCATTTAGATCCTTTTCAGGAAATGTGAAATATTACAGACCGGCGTGCCAATTGCAGGAGTGGATATCTGCCACCCAAAAAATTGTCAAGGAAGGGGCCAGGCCCCTCAGAACTCCTCAGTGGACGTGCGCAGGCTGAGTGTCCCTGCTGCAGACTGAGTGCCTTTTGAAGTTCTGGTCCTCAGAAGTTGGCAGCAGAGAGCGTATCACTGGAAATGTTTTCTCTCCCAGTATGTTCTGCAAAACAGTAATGTGAACCTTAATACAGCAGGTGAGGGGAAATGGTGGCCTTTTAGAAATTGTTGGGCTCCCATCCGCCCCAGTCAACATGGCCAATGGCCAGACACATTTGGAGCTTGCTCCAGTATGTTACTAAACTTTGATGCCTCTTGCTTGTCTGGAGGGAGGATGGGAAGAGATATGTGAAGACACTTCCACAGGAGACAGAAGTAAAATTTGGAGGCATAGCTCCACCCACTTTTTCTTCAGGCCCCTCCTACCATTGGCAGGTGCCTTGCCCAGTCTATGGCTTTAACAAGCCGCTTCCCCGCCCAGACCAGACCAGAGTCTGAAATTAGCATTTCTTCCTAACAATAGCTTAGAAACTTTTACCTTTTGTAACTAAACAATATTTTGCTTCTTTCCTGACTAGTGCGCTTCTCGCTTATTATTTTTTTAAAATTCTATAGTCGATTACTTCTTGTTTCAGGGATTTTCATGGTAATTTCTTTTGTTCTGTGTAATTTCTTGGTTCCGTGACTGTCTTTTTTCCACTGGTGATTTACTGCTAGTTCGCTCCTGTCACTGACCCACTACTTATTTTTTTATTTTAAAAATGCTTCATGAAAATCTGTCTTATTCTCCCCTGTTTGACTGTCCCGCAATGCTTTGCAGAAACATGAAGCTCTAGGAGTGGCGATTGGATATCCACAGAGAACATTTGCATAAAGGAGAAAGCCTTCAGCTCTGGGAGATTTAAGAGAGGAGAGCGCAGGTTCCCTTCAGAATGTCAAACTCCCCTGGAGAGCTCACCATGGCCCTCTCTCAGTTCATCCTTGCTGTTTTCCTTTTCTGCTCAGGTAAGGCTGTGGAGATGATCTCTTGTTACAGAGGCCAAGTCAAAGATATCAGAATATATCCTAGAAGCATAGTGCTTTATGGATATTTGAGAATGCTGAAGATGAATCTAGGTCCTCATCTTTGTTTTTTCTGTTGTTGCTTCCCACTGCAAAGGTGTCTCTTCACAATCGGCTTGGACACAGCCTGCCTCTGAATCTGTGACCCTGGGACAAACGGTGAAACTCCCCTGTACTACTCGTGAAAGCGGTGTCAACTACATACATTGGTATCAACAGAGACCAGGACATGCCCCTCGCTATGTCCACTGTGAGAGTTGCAGCAGGGGAGAAGGGATCCCAGATCGGTTCACTGCTTCCCGCTCTGGGATCATGGGCTATTTAACCATCAGCAACCTCCAGGCTGGAGACGAGGCAGTTTATTACTGTAGCAGATGGTATAGCAGTGCTAGTGAGTTCCACGGTGATGCAAACTGATGGGGATGTGAGACAAAAACCTTTCCTCTTCCACCAAAGAGCAGTGAGATGTGAATGCATGAAAAGAACTTTCTATGCTTTGTGCTTGCAGCTGTTTTCAAGTCATGGGCAGATTTGCTTTAACTGGCCATGACTGGCCATACAGACAACTTAATCCACACAGAGGCTGCAACTGCAGGGAACAAACAGAGAGTGAACAGACCCAAAGCAAGTTTTTGTTCGATCAGGCCAGACGCTCCAAGTGTCCCTATTTTGCAGTGTCAGTACTGAATCTAGAAAAGCCGTCCTGATTTCTGAATTGATCCTGAAAGTCCCACTTTTCCTTAGATCGTTCCAATTTCCATATGAAAAATGTTGGAAGGTATGGAGTTATTGAACCCACAAGCCATTTGAAGACAGAGTTAAATTTATACAGAATATTATGGGACATTCAATCAAAGGGCCAGTCCTGCTGCTTTGAATAATCTCCTTTATGCAAATCTGCCCTTTGGGCCCTTTGATTGAATGTCCCATAATATTCTGTAGGATCTCCAAACCCCAATAGAAGCAATCGATGATCGCGCAAGACATTTGCATGAAGGGGCAGCTCTTCAGCTCTGGGGGATTTAAGAGAGGAGTGAGGAAGTTTCCTTCAGAAGTTCAAACTCCTCTGGAGAGCTCACCATCATGTCTTCCTTTCTCTTTCTCCTTGCTCTAAAGCGAGATGAGCGCCGCAACCCCAGAGTCGGTCATGACTGGACCTAATGGTCAGGGGTCCCTTTACCTTTACCTATGTAAAGGAAAACTCAACCACTTTAATGTTTCCATGAGGGAAAGATACATATGTGGAGAGCTCACCATACGAAAAATGATCAATTTTGCCCCCCCATCCCATGTTAGAAATTATCACAAGCGACATGTTGAACACTAGATCAAAGTGTTCTCATGATCCATTTTCAAAACACTAGGTATTCCTGGGTTTTATCGACGTGGGATATGCCATCCTCTCTGTCTTGTTCTCCTCCTGGTGAAGCATATTCTATATTTTCAAAATGGCCTTCAGGCAAATTTGCCCCCAGGTCCTATGCTTCAGTGTCCCAAAAGACTCTGGGGAAATGAGAAGTCCGAGGCAAGGCCTTCACTCTCCTGTTTAATTCTGTGCCTTCCGTGTTCTGCTATGAAACCTTCTTTATTTATGCTTGCTAAGCTGCCTTTCACCACTAGGGGAAGATATTGGCCCTGTTTTCTGACAGAAATGAACCGATCACAAAGACCCCTTTGGAAACGTGCTGGGAAACAGAAAGGGGAATGTTTTAGGGACATGGTTGCTCTTTCTGAGCTGTACTCCTTTACTTTATTTAATATCTGTGCTTACAAGCCCATCCTTAACCAAAGGCACCAGGAAGATGACAAAAATACCCTTTGCACATCTGACCACCCCATTGAACTGAGAGGAATTTTCTGATTCTCCTTCAGGCCAAACCAAGGACTTGTCCTACCCCTTTTCAAGATGCCCATAATGCAAATTTGTCATTCTGTCCTGTGCTTGAATGTCCCACAATGCCCTGCAGGAACATGAAGTTCTAGCAGAGGCGATCAGCTGATCACCGAGGACATTTGCATGAAGAAGGGGCAACTCTTCCACTCTGGAGGATTTAAGAGAGGAGAGGGGATGATTCCTTGAGTAAGCCAAACACTTCTGGAGAACTCACCATGGGCCAATTTCTATTTCTCCTTGCTCTTTTCACTTACTGCTCAGGTAGGACTGTGGAGATGACCTCATGATATGTAGACCAAGCGAAGCTCTTTGTATTTATCAATGGAATATATTACTTGGTGGGTGTTTGAAAGTGCATCCGGCTCATAGTACCTGTTCTTTCTGGTTTTCCTTTTAGAAGGTGTCACTTCCCAGTCAGCTTGGACTCAGCCTGCCTCTGAGTCGGCGACCCTGGGACAAACAGCTAAACTCTCCTGTACCACTAATGATGGCAGCGAAATAATTCACTGGTATCAACAGAGATCTGGAGAAGCCCCTCTCTTTCTGCACTGTGAGGGTTGCAGCAACAGGGGAGAAGGGATCCCAGATCGGTTCACTGCTTCCCGTTCTGGGAGCATTGGCTATTTGACCATCACCAACATCCAGGCTAGAGACGAGGCAGTTTATTACTGTGGTAGGTGGAATACGGCTGGTATCGTGTTCCACGGTGGTACAATCTGATGGGGAACTGAGACGAAAACCTAGCCTCTTCCTCCCAAGAGGGGTGAAATGTGAATGCTGTAGAAGAACTTCACATGATTTGGGTGGCTCTGCAGCAGTTGTCAAGTCAACCCTACCGTGGAAAGATCAGAAAGCGACACAAGGAATTCAGAAAACCCTTGTTTATTATTTCTGTTTGGAAAATTACCACATGCCTCTTCTGTGGCTATGGCAAGGTAGAAGATTCAGATGGTTCGTATCTGTGTTGCATGCAGTGATAAAGGGAGACCACAGAAATATGCTTCTAATTTTTTTGTTGGGGATAATTCAGACAGAAATCCCCAGGTGTCAAAAAATGTTATTTAGCCCAAAAATGGAAATGGCAATGAAAAATGAAATGGAAATGGAAATGGAAAATGAGTGAGATCCCAACTAAAGAAGAATGACAACTAAAGAAGAATGATGGAATATGCGCAGCTTGCGGACCTAACATACAGAATAAGAGAACAAGAAGAACATACGTTTCAAGAAGATTGGAAAATGTTTATTGAATATATGGGGGGAAATTGTGTACACTTGAAAACGTTGGCAGCATTAAGATAAATTCAACAGTGTAAACAAGTTTTGATGGATGTAATAATGGAATGCTGAATGGTTTAGTTTATGTAAAATATGCAGGGATTTATGATATGCAAAATGAACCATGGAAAGAGAAGAAGGGACGTCACTGACATTTTAAGGTTGTTTACCTTTTTTCGTATCTCTTAAAAGGTTGTAAACCTTTTTTCGTATCTCTTCAAGCATTACAGCTGGAAACCACTTAGTTTCTATCCAACATCCTTCTAAAATTCCTTAATTTTACAATATTTCTGTAAATAGTCTTTAAATTTCTTCCAGTCTTCTTTCACTGACTCTTCTCCCTGGTCTCGGATTCTGCCAGTCATTTCTGCCAGTTCCATATAGTCCATCAGCTTCATCTGCCATTCTTCCAGAGTGGGTGGATCTTGTGTCTTCCAATACTTTGCAATGAGTATTCTTGCTGCTGTTGTGGCATACATAAAAAAGGTTCTATCCTTCTTTGGCACCAATTGGCTGACTATGCCCAGGAGAAAGGCCTCTGGTTTCTTCGAAAAGGTATATTTAAATACCTTTTTCAGTTCATTATATATCATTTCCCAGAAAGCCTTAATCCCTGGGCACGTCCACCAAAGGTGAAAGAATGTACCTGCAGTTTCTTTACATTTCCAACATTTGTTATCGGGCAAATGATAAATTTTTGCAAGCTTGACTGGGGTCATGTACCACCTGTATATCATTTTCATAATATTCTCTCTTAAAGCATTACATGCCGTAAACTTCATACATGTGGTCCACAACTGTTCCCAGTCAGCAAACATAATGTTATGTCCAACATCTTGTGCCCATTTAATCATAGCAGATTTCACCATTTCATCCTGAGTATTCCATTTCAACAGCAAGTTATACATCTTTGACAAAATCTTAGTTTTGGGTTCTAACAGTTCTGTTTCTAATTTTGATTTTTCCACCTGGAAGCCAATTTTCTTGTCCAAATTATATGCCTCCATTATCTGATAATAATGAAGCCAGTCTCGCACTTTATTTTTTAATTTCTCAAAACTCTGCAGTTTCAGTCTATCTCCATCTTGTTCCAAAATTTCCCAATATTTCGGCCAATTGGCCTCCATATTGAGCCTTTTCAGAGCTTTTGCTTCCATTGGTGACAGCCACCTTGGGGTTTTATTTTCCAATAAGTCTTTATATCTTATCCAGACATTAAACAATGCTTTCCTGACAATATGATTTTTGAATGCTTTGTGTGCTTTGACCTTATCATACCATAAGTACCTGTGGTACCCAGTAGTTACGGTATCATCAGTTATCTTGTATCTGAGTATTTTTATTCCTGGTATCTGTCGATTTCTGTGTCGCAGGAAGCTAGGGGACAAACAGGGGAGTGCAGTGGCTGTGTTGAGAATTGTGTGGTTCTGAGTTCAAATGTCAACCCATGGATTCCACTATGAGAAGTCCACTTCTCCATTCTCAGTTACCCATGTGCAACAATATAATGTAATCTAAAGCCCTTGAAATTCTCTCTCTCTCTCTCTCCATACTTCTTCCTTTGGAGAACTCAAGACAACGTAAATAGGATCCCCAAATGGTCTTAAATCCATGGACTGACCGATCCAAGATCTGCCATAATGAAATAGACCCAGGGAAGCTTTTGCTGTAATTAATTTATTTGCTTTTAAGGAGTCACAAACTTTCCATTATTTTCTGCAATGTCATCAAGACTTCTAAGCCCAGACCAACTGGGGTGACTCAGAGACACTCCCGGTGGAAATGATCAAAACAAACCTTATGAGAATTTGGGATCTGACCCCTGTCTCACACCTGTACAGCAGTAGAAAGTTTCATGATAGTGCTGTCAGATGAAGAAGAGAGTCAAAAATCTTCACTCCTCTGTGCCTTCTGTGCTTTGCGATGAAACCTTCTTTATTTGAGGCCTGCACAGCATCAAATGATCACAAAGACCACAGAGCACATTTGCATGAAGGGGCAGCTCCTCAGCTCTGGGGGATTTAAGAGAGGAAGTTTCCTTCAGAAGTTCAAACTCCTCTGGAGAGCTCACCATCATGTCTTCATTTCTCTTTCTCCTTGTTCTTTTTCTTTACTGCTCAGGTAAAGCTGTGGAGAAGATCTCATATTCCCTTGGCCAACAGAAAGCTAACTGCATTTATCATATTTACTTATTTGAGAACACTGAAAATGTTCCTTTTTCTCAATTCTCTTACAACAGGTGTCACCTGCCAGTCAATTTGCATTCAGCCTGCCTCCGAGTCTGTGTCGCCGGGTGAAACCATTAAACTCTCCGGCACAACTAGTGATACTGGCTCTGCTGTTCGCTGGTATCAACAGAGATCAGGGCAGGTCCCTCGATTTGTGCAATATGAAGGTAGCAGCAGGGGAGAAGGGATCCCGGATCGATTCACAGCTTCTCGCTCTGGGAACATTGGCTATTTAACCATCACCAATGTCCAGGCTGAAGACGAGGCCGTTTATCATTGTGGCAGATGGTATAATAACCTGTTTCACAGTGATACAAACCAATGGGGAAGTGGGACAAAAACCTTTCCTCTTTGACCAAACAGCAGTGATCTGTGAATGCTTGAAATAAACTTCATATAGTCTGTCTCTACATCTGTTGTCAAGTCCATCCTACTCTGGATGGAACCAGAAGAGACAGAAAACTCTGAAGTCCCACCTCCTTCCTCACAGCAGGACCTTGGAGCTGCCAGCCCAGCACACCCTCAAGTCAGCCCTTCCCAGTGGATGAAAGATTGCATTGGGAAAGTCAGGCTGCAGACTTCATATCATTCCAGATGGAAGTCTGTTTTAGGAATGGTGAGCTATAAGAGAAATGCCACCTGCTGACTGCTAAGTTGGGTCTTCATTGAGCCTATTGTAATGTTCTTATCATTTTCTGAGCAGTATTATTATTATTATTATTAGTAGTAGTAGTAGTACAACTTCAAGGGGTGTGTGTGTGTGTGTGTGTGTGTGTAAATAACCCATATCATAAAGATAACACAATTGCCAATAGGCCTCATTCCAAAAGGAATGATGAACCCTGGGAAACGCCTGGAACCCATGGAACCCCTCACAACTTGGAGATTGGGGTGGTGTGGAGAAATAGGCTTTGTGACTGCAGTTGCTGTCAAGTCCAACGTCTTCTGCCTAGAACTTGTAACAGATAAAAAGCACATTTGAAGACCCCCCCTCTTGCTGCAGAGCAGGACCTCTATCATGTCTGCGCTCAGAGTCAGCACCACCACCTGGGCTGGATGGAAGTAGGAAGCCAAGCAGATGGGGGCACTTAATCCCATCCGCACTCTTGTTCCAGGCTGCTGGAGAGTCTGGTGGGAGTCCGCCAATTCTGCTCTCCCACGAAGGTCTCAGGGATAGCATTCGTGTCACTGTTGCCGGCTGCGTGCCTTTTCATCCCAATCTCCGCTCCTCATATGCCAGAAGGTGGCACCAGAGACTTTTGAAATAACAAGAATGAATGTTTTCTTCACCAAGTTCATGCAATAATTTAAAGTTCTATAGTGTTGTACAGTCGGGGTAGGGAAACTCTGGCCTTTCTGAAGTTGTTGGACTCCTACTCCCATCAGCCCCGGCCAGCAAGAGCAATAGAAGGATGCAAAGAGCAGGCGGACCAATCGGCCCCTTTCTGTGCAGGAGGACATAGAGTAGGCTGCCCGGAGTGTGCAGCTTGGTTTGTGCAGCCCTGACTAGTGGGTGTTCTTCCCCTCTTTTGAACTTCTCAATCCTTTGTTTCACTGATTCATTTCATAATATTTCTACACCACTTGATCGTATTAAAAAAGCCTCAAAGGTTATAAAGAGATAAGACAATGAAGAAAAAATCACAATGTTACTATAAAAAATAAAAAATAAAAATACAATAGTCAGACTGAACTTTCTAAGACTTTCTAAGAATTATGAGCTTTTTTCATTCCTACACAGTCCTCTGTCCCTCCTGCCCATATTAGGAATGGTCCCAAGTGAGATAGATGTCCCACTCCATAAAAAGCAGTGTTCCCAGGACCCTTCCTAATAGACGACTTGTTGCAAAGAGTTCCTTCATGGCTGTCTCATAAGACCCTGGCTGAACTAAGGGCCAGTCTTGCTGCTTTGAGAAATCTCATTTATGCAAATCTGCCCTCAGGCCCTTGGACTGAATGTCCTATGATGCTCTGCAGGATCTCCCAATCCCAATCGAGGCAATCAATGATCAAAGAAGATATTTGCATGAAGGGGCAGCTCTTCAGCTCTGGGGGATTTAAGAGAGGAGTGAGGAAATTTCCCTCAGTAGTTCAAACTCCTCTGGAGAGCTCACCATCATGTCATCATTTCTCTTTCTCCTTGCTCTTTTTATTTACTGCTCAGGTAACGCTTTGGAGAAGATCTCATTTTCCATTGGCCAACCAAAAGCTAACTGCATTTATCATTTTATTTATTTGAGAGCACTTGAAATATTCCTTTTTCTGATTTGTTATTAAACAGGTGTCACCTGCCAGTCAATTTGCACTCAGCCTGCCTCCGAATCTGTGGCACCAGGTCAAACCATTAAACTCTCCTGTACAACTAGTGATACTATTTCCTACGTTCGCTGGTTTCAACAGAGATCAGGGCAGGCCCCTCGATTTGTGCAGTATGAGGGTAGCAGCAGGGGAAAAGGGATCCCGGATCAGTTCACTGCTTCCCGCTCTGGGAACAATGGCTATTTAACCATCACCAATGTCCAGGCTGAAGACGAGGCCGTTTATCACTGTGGCAGATGGTATGGTAACACGTTCCACAGTGATGCAAAGTAATGGGGAAGTGTGGCAAAAACCTTTTCTCTTCCACCAAAGAGCAGTGAGATGTGAATACTGAAAACGAACTTCATCTAATCTGTGTCTACATCTGTTGTCAAGTCCATCCTACTCTGGATGGAACCAGAAGAGACAGAAAACTCTGAAGTCCCACCTCCTTCCTCACAGCAGGACCTTGGAGCTGCCAGCCCAGCACACCCTCAAGTCAGCCCTTGCCAGTGGATGAAAGATTGCATTGGGAAAGTCAAGCTGCAGACTTCATATCATTCCAGATGGAAGTCTGTTTTAGGAATGGTGAGCTATAAGAGAAATGCCACCTGCTGACTGCTAGGTTGGGTCTTCATTGAGCCTATTGTAATGTTCTTATCATTTTCTGAGTATTATTGTTATTATTATTATTAGTAGTAGTTGTAGTACAACTTCAAGTTGTGTGTGTGTGTGTGTGTGTGTGTGTGTGTGTATGTGTGTGTGTGTGTGTAAATAACCCATATCATAAAGATAACACAATTGCCAATAGGCCTCATTCCAAAAGGAATGATGAACACTGGGAAATGCCTGGAACCCAATTAACCCCCCACCACTTGGAGTTTGGGGTGACGTGGAAAAATAGGCTTTGTGACTGCAGTTGCTGTCAAGTCCAACTTCTTCTGCCTAGAACTTGTAACAGATAAAAAGCACATTTGAAGACGCCCCCCTTGCTGCAGAGCAGGACCTCTATCATGTCTGCGCTCAGAGTTAGCACCACCACCTGGGCTGGATGGAAGTAGGAAGCCAAGCAGATGGGGGCACTTAATCCCATCCGCACTCTTGTTCCAGGCTGCTGGAGAGTCTGGTGGGAGTCCGCCAATTCTGCTCTCCCACGAAGGTCTCAGGGATAGCATTCTTGTCACTGTTGCCGGCTGCGTGCCTTTTCATCCCACTCTCCGCTCCTCATATGCCAGAAGGTGGCACCAGAGACTTTTGATATAACAAGAATGAATGTTTTCTTCACCAAGCTCATGCAATAATTTAAAGTTCTATAGTGTTGTACAGCGGGGGTAGGGAAACTCTGGCCTTTCAGAAGTTGCTGGACTCCAACTCCCATCAGCCCCGGCCAGCAAGAGCAATAGAAGCATGCAAAGAGCAGGCGGACCAATCGGTCCCTTTCTGTGCAGGAGGACATAGAGTAGGCTGCCTTGAGTGTGCAGCTTGTTTTGTGCAGCCCTGAGGAGTGGGTGTTCTTCCCCTCTTTTGAACTTCTCAATCCTTTGTTTCACTGATTCATTTCATAATATTTCTACACCACTTGATCGTATTAAAAAAGCCTCAAAGGTTATAAAGAGATAAGACAATGAAGAAAAAATCACAATGTTACTATAAAAAATAAAAAATAAAAATACAATAGTCAGACTGAACTTTCTAAGACTTTCTAAGAATTATGAGCTTTTTTCATTCCTACACAGTCCTCTGTCCCTCCTGCCCATATTAGGAATGGTCCCAAGTGAGATAGATGTCCCACTCCATAAAAAGCAGTGTTCCCAGGACCCTTCCTGATAGACGTCTTGTTGCAAAGAGGTCCTTTCAATGCTGTCTCATAAGACACTGTTTGAACCAAGGGCCAGTCTTGCTGCTTTGAGAAATCTCATTCATGCAAATCTGCCCTTGGGTCCTTGGACTGAACGTCCCATAATGCTCTGCAGGATCTCCAAATCCCAATAGAGGCAATCGATGATCAAAGAAAATATTTGCATGAAGGGGCAGCTCTTCAGCTCTGGGGGATTTAAGAGACGAATGAGGAAGTTTCCTTCAGTAGTTCAAACTCCTCTGGAGAGCTCACCATCATGTCTTCATTTCTCTTTCTCCTTGCTCTTTTTATTTACTGCTCAGGTAACGCTTTGGAGAAAATCTCATTTTCCATTGGCCAACCAAAAGCTAACTGCATTTATCGTATTTACTTATTTGAGAACACTGAAAATGTTCCTTTTTCTGATTTGTTATTAAACAGGTGTCACCTGCCAGTCAATTTGCACTCAGCCTGCCTCCGAATCTGTGGCACCAGGTCAAACCATTAAACTCTCCTGTACAACTAGTGATACTATTTCCTACGTTCGCTGGTATCAACAGAGATCAGGGCAGGCCCCTCGATTTGTGCAGTATGAGGGTAGCAGCAGGGGAGAAGGGATCCCGGATCGGTTCACTGCTTCCCGCTCTGGGAACAATGGCTATTTAACCATCACCAATGTCCAGGCTGAAGACGAGGCCGTTTATCACTGTGGCAGGTGGTATGGTAACACGTTCCACAGTGATGCAAAGTAATGGGGAAGTGTGGCAAAAACCTTTTCTCTTCCACCAAAGAGCAGTGAGATGTGAATACCAAAAACAAACATCATCTAATCTGTGTCTACATCTGTTGTCAAGTCCATCCTACTCTGGATGGAACCAGAAGAGACAGAAAACTCTGAAGCCCCACCTCCTTCCTCACAGCAGGACCTTGGAGCTGCCAGCCCAGCACACCCTCAAGTCAGCCCTTCCCAGTGGATGAAAGATTGCATTGGGAAAGTCAGGCTGCAGACTTCATATCATTCCAGATGGAAGTCTGTTTTAGGAATGGTGAGCTATAAGAGAAATGCCACCTGCTGACTGCTAGGTTGGTTCTTCATTGAGCCTATTATAATGTTCTTATCATTTTCTGAGCATTATTATTATTATTATTATTATTATTATTATTATTATTATAGGTTCAGGTTGTATATATGCATAAATAAACTATATATCATAAAGACACCACAATCTCCAATGCGCCTTATTCCCAAAGGGAAGACGAACCCTGGGAAATGCCTGGAACCCCTGGAACCTCCCACCACTTGGAGATTGGGGTGGTGTGCAGAAGTAGGTTTTGCACCTGCAGTTGCTGTCAAGCCAAACTTCCTCTGCCTCAAACTTGTAAGAGCAAAGAACACATTTGAAGACCCCCCTCCTGCTGCAGAGCAGGACCAGGGACCTCCCAGCCCAGCCCTCAATCCCATCCACACCAGGAGTGCCAGGCTTCTGCAGATTCCTAGGGCTTGTCTAATTTCTGGAAAGCACAGCTAGAAGGACTTTTACGCTTTGCCCCTGATTTCTAGACAGGAGTCTGTCTGGTTTTGCCTTGGCCCCGCTGCTTTCTCCGGAAAACCTGCTCTTCAACCCTAAATTGGAACAACTGGCAATCTGTGAAAAATCAAACTGCCCTTTCCTGCCATTCAGAAGTAAACTGCAGCTTTTTCCTGGGTAAAGAGGCAGGGGAAATGGAGCTGTGTCCTTCCTTTTGGATCAAAGTGGTCGGTTTGGAAAGGCTTGGGAGTTTATATCTATTTAGATCCATTTGAGGAAAAGTGAAATATTAGAGACACACGCACCAATGGGGGTGCAGCGAACCCAATAATTGTCAAGGAAGGGGCCAGGCCCCTCAAAACTGCCCAGCGGATGTGCTCACCTGCCACGGGGAGTGCTTGTGTCAGTGGTGCAAGCTGTAGGGCATGCGCGCGGCATGCCAGACCACCCTGTGACGTTCGTGCCTGATGTCAGAATGGAGGTCTGCTCTGCAAAGCAGTAACGTGAACCTGAATACGGCAGCTGTGGGGAAATGGTGGCCTTTCAGAAATGGGTGGACTCCCATCAGCCCCAGTCAGCATGGCCAATGGCCAGACACATTTGAGCCTTTCTCTAAGTGTTCCTAAAATTTGACAATGCCTCTTGCTTGTCTGGAGGGAGGATGGAAAGAGACGTGTGAAGACACTTTCGCAGGAGACAGAATTAAAATTCAGAGCCATTGCTCCACCCACTTTTTGCTCTGGTCCCTCCTCCCATTGGTAGGTGCCTTGGCCAGTCCATGGCTTTAACAAGCCTCTTTTCCTCCCAGACCAGAAGTGGAGTCTGAATCTAGCATTTCTTCCTACCAATAGCTTAGAAACTTATGTAAGTAAGCAACATTTGGCTTCTTTTCTGTCTGGTGATTTACTGCTGGCTCGCTCCTGTCACTGACCCACTACTTTTTTCTTTTTAATGCCCTTTTTGAAAATCGGTCCTATTCTCCCCTGTTTGACTGCCCCACAATGCTTTGCAGGAACATGAAGCTCTAGGAGAGGTGATTGGATATCCACAGAATCAGGGCTGTAGCTAGGGGGTGGTGAGGTGGTCCCCCGCCAGGGGTGCAGGTGAGGAGGGGGCACAGAATTAGCTAAAATATATGCATAAATATGTCTATAAATAAAAATATTGATAGTGCCTCATAAGAAAAGGCTTTAAATAGAGGGTGAATGGAATAGGTGAAGGGGGTGGGGTTTGGAGGAGAGGCGGAAAGAAGAGCAACCAATAATTTGTCTGTGTCAAGTGGGTGCAATCCGGATTGTTCTGCCAGGGGCACAAGATCACCTAGCCACAGCTCTGCACAGAGCACATTTGCATGAAGGGGAAAGCCTTCAGGTCTGGGAGATTTAAGAGAGGAGAAGGCAAGATCCCTTCAGAAAGTCAGACTCCCTGGAGAGCTCACCATGGCCCTCCCTCAATTCATCTTTGCTATTTTGCTTTACTGCTCAGGTAAGGCTGTGGTGATGATTTCTTGTTATAGAGGCAAAGCCAAAGATATTTGAATCTGTCCTAGAAACATAGTGCTTTGTGGGTATTTGTGAATGCTGAAAATTAATCTAGGTCCTCATCTTTGCTTTTTCTGTTGTTGCTTCCCACTGCAAAGGTGTCTCTTCACAATCAGCTTGGACACAGCCTGCCTCTGAATCTGTGACCCTGGGACAAACGGTCAAACTCTCCTGTACTACTGGTGAAAGCGGTGACAACTACATATATTGGTATCAACAGAGACCAGGACAGGCCCCTCGCTTTGTGCACTGTGAGAGTTGCAGCAGGGGAGAAGGGATCCCAGATCGATTTACTGCTTCCCGCTCTGGGATCATGGGCTATTTAACCATCAGCAACCTCCAGGCTGGAGACGAGGCCGTTTATTACTGTTGCAGATGGTATAGCAGTGCTAGTGAGTTCCACGGTGATACAAACGGATGGGGATGTGAGACAAAAACCTTTCCTCTTCCACCAAAGAGCAATGAAATGTGAATGCTTAAGAAGAACTTCCTATGCTTTGTGCTTGCAGCTGTTTTCAAGTCATGGGCAGATTTGCTTTAACTGGCCATGACTGGCCATACAGACAACTTAATCCACACAGATGCTGCCACTGCAGGGAACAAACAGAGAGTGAACAGACCCAAAGCAAGTTTTTGTTCGATCAGGCCAGACGCTCCAAGTGTCCCTATTTTGCAGTGAGTACTGAATCTACAAAAGCCGTCCTGGTTTCTGAATTGATCCTGAAAGTCCCACTTTTCCTTAGATCGTTCCAATTTCCATATGAAAAATGTTGGAAGGTATGGAGTTATTGAACCCACTAGCCATTTGAAGACAGCCCTGTATAGCCAAGTTTTTAATGCTTAATGTTTTATTATGCTTTTGTATATGTTGGATGCCACCCAGAGGGGCACCCCAGTCAGATATGCAGCGTATAAAGAGTTAAATTATTATTATGGGATAGGAGGTCCCGATTTTCATTGGAGAAATGTTGGAGGGTACATTGACAGGCATCTGCCTGAGGGTCACATTCCCCACCTGGTAACTTTCCATGGGACCCACATTACTGGTGGGTGGGGCCAGAGGCAAAGGTGCAATGAATTGATATTTCACCTCTCTACTGTAGGCTAGTTTTCCCCACACTCCCTATCCCCCATTCAGGAAAGCGAGAGGCATCAACGGAATGCGAGGGAACAAACCGAGGCAGTGGAAGGTGTGGCTAGAGGAGAGTGGGTGTGGCCTAGAGCAGTGGCAAAGTGTGTGTGTGGGGGGGAATGGGGTGCTTTTCCCACACACAAGGTTGTTAGGGGCACAAAATTTGTACACTTGGTGCTGCCACAATACAGCTGCATACTTCCTTCACTGTGCTCGCTTGAAAACAGGTTCTCCATGTGAAGCTGAGCTCTCCAGACAATGGTGCGACACTCTTGTCTCTTTGGTTGCAATCTCCTGGGTGATGCAGAGGCCACTAGGCAGGTGAATGTGCATGCGTACTTTGTCCGTTTCCCTCCCACCCACCATCGCTCTTCACGCTGGCCGCTGCAACCCATGCTACACCACTGGCCTAGAGGGCCAAATTGAGTCACTCTCAGACACATTGCTCTCCGAGCTTGAGGCTCCTCACCTTGTTGCATATTGATGAGCTGCTTCCGGTGTTGTCAACGGCTTCTGGCTAATTGCCCAGGAAATCAGAGAGGAAGAGAAAGAGTGCGCTTTCTAGTGACGCCCTGTGTGATGCAAAAATCAGGCACTGTCCCTGACTCTCGTCTTCCATTGTGTTTCTTAGTTGTGGCACCTCAGGAGCTCTAGATCCAATGCCCTCCCCCTTCAGCTGGACAGAGAGTCGGGGAGAGAGGGAGGGAGAGAGGGAGAGAGAGAGAGGGAGAGAGAATGTCTGTAGGATACAAAAACTCCTGCTCCCTGACCCTCATGTCTGCCCTGATCCTACACCGAGTAACCAAGTGGACTCAGCTGGGTGAGACCAACTCCCCTCTGCTTTCAGAGGTGGTTCAACTGGTTTGGCCAAATTGGAAACCGTGTGACAGGGGGTGCCACACCAATGCTGTAGAATGGGGCATGAGACGTGGGAGCATGTGTCCAATTTTAGCATCGCACAAGGCGCTGCTGAATTCCGGGAGCCCAAAGACTGCCATTTCTGCCCTCCCACGAAGGTCTCAGGGATACCGTTCTTGTCACTCTTGCTGGCTGTGTGCCTTTTCATCCCAATCTCCGCTCCTCATATGTCAGAAGGTGGCAGCAGAGACTGTGCTACGTGAAATACTGAGAATGAATGTTTTCTTCACCAAGTTTACGCAACAATTCAAAGCTTAATAGTTTTGTACACTGGGGGTATGCAAACCCTGGCTGTCCTAGGTTGTCCATGTTCAAAAAAGATAATGCAAAACAAGAAAAATTCACAACCTTACTTTAAACTATATAAAGTTAAGATACAAAGACAGACTGAACTTGGGAAGACATTCTGAGAATTATGAACTTTTTTCATTCCTACACAGTCCTCTGTCTCTCCAGCCCATGTTAGGAATGGACCCAAGTGAGATGTTCCACTCTATAAAAAACAGTGTTTCCAGGACCCTTCCTGAAAGATGTCTCACTCATGACATCCTGGCTGAACTATGGGCCAGTCCTGCTGCTTTGAATAATCTCCTTTATGCAAATCTGCCCTTGGGCTCTTTGATTGAATGTCCCATAATGCTCTGCAGGATCTCCAAACCCCAATAGAGGCAACTGATGATCACAGAAGATATTTGCATGAATGGGCAGCTCTTCAGCTCCGGGGGATTTAAGAGAGGAGTGAGGAAGTTTCCTATAGAAGTTCAAAGTCCTCTGGAGAGCTCACCATCATGTCTTCATTTCTCTTTCTCTTTGCTCTTTTTATTTACTGCTCAGGTAAAGCTGTGGAGAAGATCTCATGTTCCATTGGCCAACCAAAAGCTAACTGCATTTATCATTTTTATTTATTTGAGAGCACTAAAAATGTCCCCTTTCTCCATATTTTTTTAAACAGGGGTCACCTGCCAGTCAATTTGCACTCAGCCTGCCTCTGAGTCTGTGTCGCCGGGTCAAACCATTAAACTCTCCTGTACTACTAGTAATACTGGCGCCTACATTGGCTGGTATCAACAGAGATCAGGGCAGGCCCCTCGCTTTGTGCACTGTGAAACTGGCAGCAGGGGAGAAGGGATCCCGGATCGATTCACGGCTTCTCGCTCTGGGAACATTGGCTATTTAACCATCACCAACGTCCAGGCTGGAGATGAGGCCGTTTATTACTGTGGCAGATGGTATAGCAGTGCTAGTGCGTTCCACAGTGATGCAAACTGATGGGGAACTGAGACAAAAACCTTTCCTCTCCCACCAAAGAGCAGTGAGATGTGAATACCAAAAACAAACATCATCTAATCTGTGTCTACATCTGTTGTCAAGTCCATCCTACTCTGGATGGAACCAGAAGAGACAGAAAACTCTGAATTCCCACCTCCTTCCTCACAGCAGGACCTTGGAGCTGCCAGCCCAGCACACCCTCAAGTCAGCCCTTCCCAGTGGATGAAAGATCTGCTTTGGGAAAGTCAGGCTGTAGATTTCATATCTTTGCAAAATAGGAGTCTGTTTTAGGAATTGTGAGCTATAGCATAAATGTCACCTGTGGATTGCTAGGTTGGTCTTCACTGAGCATATTATAATATCATTATTATTTACTAAGCATTATCATTATGATTACTATTATTACAGGCTCAGGTTGTATATAAAGGTAAAGGAACCCCTGACCATTAGGTCTAGTTGTGGCCGACTCTGGGGTTGCGGCACTCATCTCGCTTTATTGGACGAGGAAGCCGGCGTACAGCTTCCGGGTCATGTGGCCAGCATGACTGAGCCGCTTCTGGTGAACCAGAGCAGCACACGGAAACGCCGTTTACCTTCCTGCCGGAGTGGGACTATTTATTTGCTTGCACTGAGTGCTTTCAAACTGCTAGGTTGGGAGGAGCAGGGACTGAGCAACAGGAGCTCACTCCGTTGCTGGGATTCGAACCGCCGACCTCCTGATCGGCAAGTCCTAGGCACTGTGGTTTAACGCACAGCGCCACCCGCATTCCTTCAGGTTGTATATATGTGTATATAAAATACATATCATAAAGACACCACAATCTCCAATGGGCCTCATTACGAATGGAAAGACGAACCCTGGGAACCACTTGGAACCACTGGAACCTCCCACCACTTGGAGATTGAGGTGGCTTGCAAAAATAGGCTTTGTGCCTGCAGTTGCTGTCAAGTCTAGCTTCTTCCGCATAGAACTTATAAGAGAAAAATAGCAAATTTGAAGTCCCCCCTGCAGTACTGCTGGTACTGCAGCTACAAGGACTTTTATGCTTTTTCCATGATTCTAGACATGAGTCTGCCTGGTTTTGCCTTTGCCCTGCTCCTTTCCCCTGGAAAACCTGCTCTTCACCCCTCAATTGGAACAACCAGCAATCCGTGGAAAGTCCGACTACCATATGCTGCCATTCAGCAGTAAATTGCAGGTTTTCCCTGGGGAAATAAGCAGGGGAAACGGAGCGGTGCCCTTCCATTTTGATCAAAGTTGTCGTTTTGGAAAGGCTTGTGAGTTTATATCTATTTAGATCCTTTTTAGGAGATGTGAAATATTACAGACAGGCATGCCAATTGTGGAGTGGGCTGCCTAAAATATATTGTCAAGGAGGGGCCAGGCCCCACAAAGAACCCCAGCGGATGTGCGCACCCACCGCGGGGCATGCTTGCGTCACTTTTGCAAGCTGCAGGGCATGTGCACAACATATCAGCACACGCCATGACATTCGTAGGTGACGTCAGAACTGAGTTTGTGCAGCCCTGGGCCTGTCAGTTGCAGGGACAAGGGGGTGCCCTTGATGGCAGAGATGCTATTTTCCAAAGCATACTTTCCCGGACAGTAGGAAGCTGCTGTCACCATCCCTACCGCTTGGGAATTTCCCTTGGATCTTGTCCCTGCTGAAGGTCACGTGCCTTTTGTTCACAATCTCTGCTCCTTAGAAGTAGGCTGCAGAGAGCGTCTCATTGGAAATGTTCTCTATCCCAATGTGTTCTGCAATACAGTAATGTGAGCCTTAATACAGCAGGTGAGGGGAAACGGTGGCCTTTTAGAAACGCTTGGACTCCCATCAGCCCCAGTCAGCATGGCGAATGGCCACACACATTTGGGCCTTTCTCCAAGGTGTTGCTAAACTCTGAAGCTGCCTCTTGCTTGTCTGGAGGGACGATAGAAAGAGATGTGTGAAGACACTTCCGCAGTAGACAGAAGTAAAATTTAGAACTATAGCTCCACCCACTTGTTCCTCTGGTCTCTCCTACCATTGGCAGGTGCCCTGCTCAGTCCATGGCTTTAACCAGCCTCTTCCCCCCCTCTCCCAGACCTGAACAGAGTCTGAAACTAGCATTTTTTTCTCACCAATAGCTTAGAAACCTTTACCTTTTGTAACTAAGCAACATTTTTCATATTTCCTGACTGGTGATTTACTGCTGGCTCACTCCCGTCACTAACCCATTCCTATTTTACTTTTTTAAAAAGAAAGAAAGAAAATCTGTCCTATTCTCCTCTGTTTGAATGTCCCACAATGCTTTAAAGGAACCTGAAATTCTAGGAGTGGCGTTTGGTTATCCACAGAACACATTTGCATGAAGGGGAAAGCCTTCAGCACTGGGAAATTTAAGAGAGGAGAGGGCAAGATCCACTCAGAAAGGCAAACTCCCCTGGAGAGCTCACCATGGCCCTCCCTCAATTCATACTTGCTATTTTCGTTTACTGTTCAGGTAAGGCTGTGGAGGTGATCTCTTGTTCAAGAGGCCAAGCCAAAGATATTTGAATCTATCCCAGAAACATAGTGCTTTGTGGGTGTTTGTGAATGCTGAAAATGAAACGAGGTCCTCATCTTTGTTTTTTCTGTTGTTGCTTCCTCCTACAAAGGTGTCTCTTCACAGTCAGATCCGACTCAGCCTGCCTCTGAGTCTGTGACCCTGGGACAAACGGTCAAACTCTCCTGTACTTCCAGTAACCGTGGCAGCAACTACATTCATTGGTATCAACAGAGATCAGGAAAGGCCCCTCGCTTTGTGCAGTATGATGGTAGCAGCAGGGGAGAAGGGATCCCGGATCGATTCACCGCTTCTCGCTCAGGGAACATTGGCTATTTAACCATCACCAAGGTCCAGGCTGGAGATGAGGCTGTTTATTACTGTGGCAGATGGTACGGTCTCACATCCCACAGTAATACAAACTGATGGGGAAGTGTGACAAAAACCTTTCTTCTTCCACCAAAGAGCAGTGAGATGTGAATGCTTAAAAAGAACTTCCTATGCTTTGTGCTTGCAGCTGTTGTCAAGTCATGAGTAGATTTGCTTTACTGGCCATGATCGGCCATACAGACAGCTTAATCAACACAGATCCCACCACTGCAGGGCACAAACAGAGAGTGAACAGACCCCAAACAAGTTCTTGGTAGATCAGGACAGACGCTCCAAGTGTCTCTATTTTGAAGGGACAGTCCTGGATTTACAGAAGCCGTCCTGGTTTCTGATTTGATCCCAGAAAGTCCTGCTTTTCCTCAGGACATCCCTATGTCCATAGTAGAAATGTTGGAGGGTGTGGAGTTATTTCACCCCCGAGCCATCTGAAGACAGCCTTGTATAGGGTGTGGAGTTATCCGACTCCCAAAACATCAAAAGGCAGCCATGTATGGGAAAGTTTTTAATGCTTAGCGTTTTATTATGCTTTTATATATGTTGGAAGACAGCCAGAGTTGCAACGCAGTCAAATGGACAGGGTATAAATGGTAGAATTATTATTATGGGATAGGACTTCTCTGTTTTCATTGGTGAAATATTGGAGGGTATGTTGACAAACATCAGCTCCACAGTCACATTCCCCACCTGGCAACTTTCCATGGGTCTCATGTCACTGGTGGGCGAGGCCAGAGGCAAAGGTGCGATGAATGGATATTTTACCTCTCTACTGTAGGCTCCCTGATCCTCAGGTCTGCCCTGATACAGCACCGAGTATCCAGTTTGGCCCAGCTGGGTGAGACCAACTGCACTCTGCTCTCAGAGGTGGTTCAACTGGTTCAGTCGAATTGGGCATTGTGCTACAGGGGGTCCCACACCAATGCTGTGGAACGGAGCATGAGGGGGAGGGGCATGCACCAAATTTTAGCATTGCACAGGGCGCTGCTGAAATCTGGGAGCCCAAAGACCGCCATTTCTGCTCTCCCACGCAGGTCTCAGGGATATTGTTCTTGTCACTGTTGCAGGCTGCGTGTCTTTTCATCCTAATCTCTGCTCCTCATATGTCAGAAGGTGGCAGCAGAGACTGTGCCGTTTGAAATAACAAGAATGAATGCTTTCTTCACCAAGTTCATGCAATAGTTTAAAGCTCAATAGTGTTGTACAGCGGGGGTAGGGAAACTCTGGCCTTTCAGAAGTTGCTGGACTCCAACTTCCATCAGCCCCGGCCAGCAAGAGCAATAGAAGGATGCAAAGAGCAGGCGGACCAATCGGCCCCTTTCTGTGCAGGAGGACGTAGAGTAGGCTGGCCAGAGTGCGCAGCTTGGTTTGTGCAGCCCTGAGGAGTGGGTGTTCTTCCTCTCTTTTGAACTTCTCAATCATTTGTTTCACTGATTCATTTCATAATATTTCTACACCACTTGATTGTATTAAAAAGAAATCCAATAAGGTTACGAAGAGATAAGAAAAGAAAATGAAGAAAAATTCACAAACTTACTTTAAACATAAGAAGCTAAAATACAAAAAGAGACTGCACTTTCTAAGACGTTTTAAGAATTTTGAGCTCTTTCCTATCCTACACAGTCCTCTGTGCATCCTGCCCATATTAGGAATATTCCCAAGTGAGATGTTCCACACTATAAAAAGCAGTGTTCCCAGGACCCTTCCTGATAGATGTCTTACTGCAAAGAGTTCCTTCATGGCTGTCTCATCACAATCTGGCTGAACTAAGGGCCAGTCCTACTGCTTTGAGAAATCTCCTTTATATAAATCTGCCATTGCCCCCTTTGATTAAATGTCCCATAATGCTCTGCAGGATCTCCCAATCCCAATCGAGGCAATCGATGATCACAGAAGATATTTGCATGAAGGGGCAGCTCTTCAGCTCTGGGAGATTTAAGAGAGGAGTGCGGAAGTTTCCTTCAGAAGTTCAAACTCCTCTGGAGAGCTCACCATCATGTCTTCATTTCTCTTTCTCCTTGTTCTTTTTCTTTACTGCTCAGGTAAAGCTGTGGAGAAGATCTCATATTCCCTTGGCCAACAGAAAGCTAATAGCATTTATCATATTTTTTTTATTTGAGAACAGTGAAAATGTTATTTTTTCTCATTTTTTTTAAAACAGGTGTCAACTGCCAATCAATTTGCACTCAGCCTGCCTCTGAGTCTGTGGTGCCGGGTCAAACCATTAAACTCTCCTGTACAACTAGTGATACTGGCGACGCTGTTCGCTGGTATCAACAGAGATCAGGGCAGGTCCCTCGATTTGTGCAGTATGAGGGTAGCAGCAGGGGAGAAGGGATCCCAGATCGATTCACAGCTTCTCGCTCTGGGAACATTGGCTATTTAACCATCACCAACGTCCAGGCTGGAGATGAGGCCGTTTATTACTGTTGCAGATGGTATAGCAGTGCTAGTGGGTTCCACAGTGATGCAAACTGATGGGGAACTGAGACAAAAACCTTTCCTCTTCCACCAAAGGGCAGTGAGATGTGAATACTGAAAACCAACTTCATGTAATCTGTGTCTACATCTGTTGTCAAGTCCATCCTACTCTGGATGGAACCAGAAGAGACAGAAAACTCTGAAGTCTCACCTCCTTTCTCACAGCAGGACCTTGGAGCTGCCAGCCCAGCACACCCTCAAGTCAGCCCTTCCTTGTGGATGAAACAGCTGCTTTGGGAAAGTCAGGCTGCGGACTTCCTTTTCATTGCAAAATAGGAGTCTGATTTAGGAATGTTGAGTTATAGCAGAAATGCCACCTGCTGACTGCTAGGTCAGTCTTCATTGAGCATATTATAATAATATTATTATTATTGACTGAACATTATTATTATTATTATTATTATTATTATTATTATTATTATTACAGGCTCAGGTTGTATATATGCGTAAATAAACCATATATCATAAAGACACCACAATCTCCAATGCGCCTTATTCCCAAAGGAAAGACGAACCCAGGGAAACGCCTGGAAACCCTGGAACCTCCCACCACTTGGAGATTGGGGTGGCGTGCAGAAGTAGGCTTTGCACCTGCAGTTGCTGTCAAGCCAAACTTCCTCTGCCTCAAACTTGTAAGAGAAAAGAACACATCTGAAGTCCCTCCTCCTCCTCCTGCAGAGCAGGACCCTGGACCTCATTCCTATCCACACCCGGAGTGCCAGGCTTCCGCAGATTCCTAGGTCTTGTCCACATCTCTGCTTATCCCATTCCTGGAAACCACAAATAAAAGCTGTTTTATGCTTTGCTCCTGCTTTCTAGACAGGAGTCTGGCTGGTTTTGCCTTTGCCCTGCTGCTTTCCCCTGGAAAACCTGCTCTTCAACCCTAAATCGGAAAAACCAGCAATCTGCGAAAAATCTGATTGCTGTTTGGTGCCATTCAGAAGTAAATCTGATTGCCAGACCTTCCAAGTGTCCCTATTTTGCAGGGTCAGTCCAGAATCTACAAAAGCTGTCCTGGTTTCTGATTTGATCCCAGAAAGTCCCACTTTTCCTTAGATCGTCCGAATTTCAATCTTAGAAATGTTGGCGGGTATGGAGTTATTGAACCCAGAAGCCATTTGAAGACAGCCCTGTAGAGCCATGTTTTTAATGTTTAATGTTTTATTATGCTTTTATATATCTTGGATGCCACCCGGAGTGGCACCCCAGTCAGATGGGCAGGGTATAAAGAGTTAAATTATTATTATGGGATAGGAGGTCCCGATTTTCATTGGAGAAATGTTGGTGTGTACGTTGACAGGCATCTGCCCGAGAGTCATATTTCCCCACCTGGTAACTTTCCATGGGTCCCATGTCACAGGTGGGTGGGGCCAGAGTCAAAGGTGCCATGAACGGATATTTTACCTCTCTACTGTAGGCTGGTTCCCCCAACACTCACTATCCCCCATCCATGAAATGAGAGGCATCAGTGGAATGCTAGGGCACATCCTTGCCAGGCAGAAACCCTTGGGGTGCAAACAGAGCCAGTGGAAGGTGTGGCTAGAGGAGAGTGGGTGTGGCCTAGAGCAGTGGCAGAGTGTGTGGGGGGGAATGGGGTGCTTGCCCCAGACACAAAATTGTAAGGGGCACAAAAATTTGTACACTTGGTGCTACCTCAATATAACTGCACACTTCTGTAATGTGCTCCCTTGAAAAAAGGTTCTCCATGTGAAGTTGACCTCTCCAAACAATGGAGCGACTCTTATTTTCTTGTCTCTTTGACTGCAATGTCCTGGGTGATGCGGAGGCTGTTAGGCAGTTGAATGTACATGCGTACTTTATCCGTTTCCCTTCCACCCCCTCTGCACTTGGCCCCGGGTGCTGCAACCCACGCTACACCACTGGCCTAGAGGGCCAGACAGAGACACATTGCTCTTTCACCATCTCTGCTCCTCATATGTCAGAAGGTAGCAGCAGAGACTGTGCCTTTTGAAATACGAAGAATGAATGTTTTCTTCACCAAGTTTATGCAACAATTCAAAGCTTAATAGTTTTGTACAGCAGAGGTATGGAAACCCTGGCTGTCCTAGGTTGTCCATGTTCAAAAAAGATAATGCAAAACAAGAAAAACTCACAATGTTACTTTAAACCCAAAGGGTGCTCATCAATGGTTCCTCTTCATCCTGGAGAAGAGTGACTAGTGGGGTGCCACAGGGTTCTGTCTTGGGCCCGGTCTTACTCAACATCTTTATCAACGACTTGGATGATGGACTCAAGGGCATCCTGATCAAATTTGCAGATGACACCAAATTGGGAGGGGTGGCTAACACCCCAGAGGACAGGATCACACTTCAAAACGGCCTTGACAGATTAGAGAACTGGGCCAAAACAAACAAGATGAATTTTAACAGGGAGAAATGTAAAGTATTGCAGTTGGGCAAAAAAAATGAGAGGCACAAATACAAGATGGGTGACACCTGGCTTGAGAGCAGTACATGTGAAAAGGATCTAGGAGTCTTGGTTGACCACAAACTTCACATGAGCCAACAGTGTGACGCGGCAGCTAAAAAGCCAATGCAATTCTGGGCTGCATCAATAGGAGTATAGCATCTAGATCAAGGGAAGTAATAGTGCCACTGTATTCTGCTCTGGTCAGACCTCACCTGGAGTACTGTGTCCAGTTCTGGGCACCACAGTTCAAGAAGGACACTGACAAACTGGAACGTGTCCAGAGGAGGGCAACCAAAATGGTCAAAGGCCTGGAAACGATGCCTTATGAGGAACGGCTAAGGGAGCTGGGCATGTTTAGCCTGGAGAAGAGGAGTTTAAGGGGTGATATGATAGCCATGTTCAAATATATAAATGGATGTCACATAGAGGAGGGAGAAAGGTTGTTTTCTGCTGCTCCAGAGAAGCGGACACGGAGCAATGGATCCAAACTAGAAGAAAGAAGATTCCACCTAAACATTAGGAAGAACTTCCTGACAGTAAGAGCTGTTCGACAGTGGAATTTGCTGCCAAGGAGTGTGGTGGAGTCTCCTTCTTTGGAGGTCTTTAAGCAGAGGCTTGACAACCATATGTCAGGAGTGCTCTGATGGTGTTTCCTGCTTGGCAGAGGGTTGGACTCGATGGCCCTTGTGGTCTCTTCCAACTCTATGATTCTATGATTCTATGAAACTTTAAAAAGTTAAGATACAAAGAAAGACTGAACTTTCTAAGACGTTTTAAGAATTATGAGCTCTTTTCATTCCTACACAGTCCTCTATCTATAAAGCCCCAGCTAGGAATGTTCCCAAGTGAGATGTTCAACTCTATAAAAAGCAGTGTTCCCAGGAGCCTTCCTGATAGATGTCTTACTGCAAAGAGTTCCTTCATGGCTGTCTCATCACATCCTGGCTGAACTAAGGGCCACTCCTGCTGCTTTGAATAATCTCCTTTATGCAAATCGGCCCTTGGGCTCTTTGATGGAATGTCCCATAATGCTCTACAGGATCTCCAAATACCAACAGAGGCAATCGATGATAGTGGAAGATATTTGCATGAAGGGGCAGCTCTTCAGCTCTGGGGGATTTAAGAGAGGAGTGAGGAAGTTTCCTCCAGAAGTTCAAACTCCTCTGGAGAGCTCACCATCATGTCTTCATTTCTCTTTCTCCTTGCTCTTTTTATTTACTGCTCAGGTAAAGCTGTGGAGAAGATCTCATGTTCCATTGGCCAACCAAAAGCTAACTGCATTTATCATTTTTATTTATTTGAGAGCACTAAAAATGTTCCCCTTTCTCCATATTTTTTTAAACAGGAGTCACCTGCCAGACAATTTGCACTCAGCCTGCCTCTGAGTCTGTGGCGCCGGGTCAAACCATTAAACTCTCCTGTACAACTAGTGATACTGACTCCTACATTGGCTGGTATCAACAGAGATCAGGGCAGGCCCCTCGATTTGTGCAGTATGAAGGTAGCAGCAGGGGAGAAGGGATCCCGGATCGATTCACGGCTTCTCGCTCTGGGAACATTGGCTATTTAACCATCACCAACGTCCAGGCTGGAGATGAGGCTGTTTATTACTGTTGCAGATGGTATAGCAGTGCTAGGGCGTTCCACAGTGATGCAAACTGATGGGGAACTGAGACAGAAACCTTTCCTCTTCCACCAAAGGGCAGTGAGATGTGAATACTGAAAACCAACTTCATGTAATCTGTGTCTACATCTGTTGTCAAGTCCATCCTACTCTGGATGGAACCAGAAGAGACAGAAAACTCTGAAGTCTCACCTCCTTTCTCACAGCAGGACCTTGGAGCTGCCAGCCCAGCACACCCTCAAGTCAGCCCTTCCTTGTGGATGAAACAGCTGCTTTGGGAAAGTCAGGCTGCGGACTTCCTTTTTCATTGCAAAATAGGAGTCTGATTTAGGAATGTTGAGTTATAGCAGAAATGCCACCTGCTGACTGCTAGGTCAGTCTTCATTGAGCATATAATAATAATATTATTATTATTGACTGAACATTATTATTATTATTATTATTATTATTATTATTACAGGCTCAGGTTGTATATATGCGTAAATAAACCATATATCATAAAGACACCACAATCTCCAATGCACCTTATTCCCAAAGGAAAGACGAAGCCAGGGAAACGCCTGGAACCCCTGGAACCTCCCACCACTTGGAGATTGGGGTGGCGTGCAGAAGTAGGCTTTGCACCTACAGTTGCTGTCAAGCCAAACTTCCTCTGCCTCGAACTTGTAAGAGAAAAGAACACATCTGAAGTCCCTCCTCCTCCTCCTGCAGAGCAGGACCCTGGACCTCATTCCTATCCACACCCGGAGTGCCAGGCTTCCGCAGATTCCTAGGTCTTGTCCACATCTCTGCTTGTCCAATTTCTGGAAAGCACAGCTATAAGGACTTTTACGCTTTGCCCCTGCTTTCTAGACAGGAGTCTGGCTGGTTTTGCCTTTGCCCTGCTGCTTTCCCCTGGAAAACCTGCTCTTCAACCCTAAATCGGAAAAACCAGCAATCTGCGAAAAATCTGATTGCTGTTAGGTGGCATTCAGAAGTAAATCTGATTGCCAGACCTTCCAAGTGTCCCTATTTTCCAGGGTCAGTCCAGAATCTACAAAAGCCGTCCTGGTTTCTGATTTGATCCCAGAAACTCCTGCTTTTCCTCAGGACATCCCTATGTCCATAGTAGAAATGTTGGAGGGTGTGGAGTTATTTCACCCCCAAGCCATCTGAAGACAGCCTTGTATAGGGTGTGGAGTTATTCGACTCCCAAACCATCAAAAGGCAGCCATGTATGGGAAAGTTTTTAATGTTTAGTGTTTTATTATGCTTTTATATATGTTGGAAGACAGCAAGAGTTGCAACGCAGTCAAATGGACAGGGTATAAATGGTAGAATTATTATTATGGGATAGGACTTCTCTGTTTTCATTGGTGAAATATTGGAGGGTATGTTGACAAACATCAGCTCCACAGTCACATTCCCCACCTGGCAACTTTCCATGGGTCCCATGTCACTGGTGGGTGGCGCCAGAGGCAAAGGTGCGATGAAGGGATATTTTACCTCTCTACTGTAGGCTCCCTGATCCTCAGGTCTGCCCTGATACAGCACCGAGTATCCAGGTTGGCCCAGCTGGGTGAGACCAACTGCACTCTGCTCTCAGAGGCTTTTCAACTGGTTTCGTCGAATTGGGCATTGTGCTACAGGGGGTCCCACACCAATGCTGTGGAACGGAGCATGAGGGGGAGGGGCATGCGCCAAATTTTAGCATCGCACAGGGCGCTGCTGAAATCTGGGAGCCCAAAGACCGCCATTTCTGCTCTCCCACGCAGGTCTCAGGGAGCCTGTTCTTGTCACTGTTGCAGGCTGCGTGTCTGTTCATCCCAATCTCTGCTCCTCATATGCCAGAAGGTGGCAGCAGAGACTGTGCCATTGAAAAACCGAGAAAGAATGTTTTCTTCAATAAGTTTAAGAAAGAACTTAAAGCTTAATAATTCTGTACAGTGGGGGTAGGGAAACTCTGGCCTTTCAGAAGTTGTTGGACTCCAACTCCCATCAGCCCCGGCCAGCAAGAGCAATAGAAGCATGCAAAGAGCAGGCGGACCAATCGGCCCCTTTCTGTGCAGGAGGACATAGACTAGGCTGGCCAGAGTGCGCAGCTCGGTTTGTGCAGCCCTGACTAGTGGGTGTTCTTCCCCTCTTTTGAACTTCACAGTTATTTGTTTCACCGATTCATTTCATAATATTTCTACACCACTTGATTGTATTAAAAAAGCCTCTAAGCAAGTTACAAAAAGATAAGAAAAGAAAAGAAAATGAAGAAGAATTCACAACATTACTTTAAAAGATAAAAAGTAAAAATACGAAGACAGACTGAACTTTCTAAGACATTTTAGGAATTATGAGCTTTATTTGTTCCTACACAGTCATCTGTCTATCCAGCCCAGGTTAGGAATGGTCCCAAGTGAGATGTTCCACACAATAAAAACCAACCTATTAAAAGCATTGTTCCCAGGACCCTTCCTGATAGATGTCTTGCTGCAAAGAGTTCCTTCATGGCTGTCTCATAAGACCGTGGCTGAACTAAGGGCCAGTCTTGCTGCTTTGAGAAATCTCATTTATGCAAAATCTGCCCATGGGCCCTTGGACTGAATGTCCTATGATGCTCTGCAGGATTTCTAAATCCCAATAGAGGCAATCGATGATCTAAGAAGATATTTGCATGAAGGGGCAGCTCTTCAGCTCTGGGGGATTTAAGACAGGAGTGAGGAAGTTTCCTTCAGAAGTTCAAACTCCTCTGGAGAGCTCACCATCATGTCTTCCTTTCTCTTTCTCCTTGCTCTTTTTGTTTACTGCTCAGGTAAAGCTGTGGAGAAGATCTCTTGTTCCACTGGCCAACCAAAAGCTAACTGCATTTATCATATTTACTTATTTGAGAAGACTGAAAATGTTCCTTTTTCTCAATTCTCTTAAAACAGGTGTCATCTCTCAGTCAATTTGGACTCAGCCTGCCTCTGAGTCTGTGGCGCTAGGTCAAACCATTAAACTCTCCTGTACTACTAGTGATACTGGCTCCTACATTGGCTGGTATCAACAGAGATCAGGGCAGGCCCCTCGCTTTGTGCAGCGTGAGGGTGGCAGCAGGGGAGAAGGGATCCCGGATCGATTCACGGCTTCTCGCTCTGGGAACATTGGCTTTTTAACCATCACCAACGTCCAGGCTGGAGATGAGGCCGTTTATTACTGTTGCAGATGGTATAGCAGTGCTAGTGCGTTCCACAGTGATGCAAACTGATGGGGAACTGAGACAAAAACCTTTCCTCTTCCACCAAAGGGCAGTGAGATGTGAATACTGAAAACCAACTTCATGTAATCTGTGTCTACATCTGTTGTCAAGTCCATCCTACTCTGGATGGAACCAGAAGAGACAGAAAACTCTGAAGTCTCACCTCCTTCCTCACAGCAGGACCTTGGAGCTGCCAGCCCAGCACACCCTCAAGTCAGCCCTTCCTTGTGGATGAAAGAGCTGCTTTGGGAAAGTCAGGCTGCGGACTTCCTTTTTCATTGCAAAATAGGAGTCTGATTTAGGAATGTTGAGTTATAGCAGAAATGCCACCTGCTGACTGCTAGGTCAGTCTTCAGTGAGCATATTATAATTAGATTATTATTATTTAGTGAATATTATTATTATTATTATTATTATTATTATTATTATTACAGGCTCAGGTTGTATATATGCGTAAATAAACCATATATCATAAAGACACCACAATCTCCAATGCGTCTTATTCCCAAAGGAAAGACGAACCAAGGGAAACGCCTGGAACCCCTGGAACCTCCCACCACTTGGAGATTGGGGTGGCGTGCAGAAGTAGGCTTTGCACCTGCAGTTGCTGTCAAGCCAAACTTCCTCTGCCTCGAACTTGTAAGAGAAAAGAACACATCTGAAGTCCCTCCTCCTCCTCCTGCAGAGCAGGACCCTGGACCTCATTCCTATCCACACCCGGAGTGCCAGGCTTCCGCAGATTCCTAGGTCTTGTCCACATCTCTGCTTATCCCATTCCTGGAAACCACAAATATAAGCTGTTTTATGCTTTGCTCCTGCTTTCTAGACAGGAGTCTGGCTGGTTTTGCCTTTGCCCTGCTGCTTTCCCCTGGAAAACCTGCTCTTCAACCCTAAATCAGAAAAACCAGCAATCTGCGAAAAATCTGATTGCTGTTAGGTGCCATTCAGAAGTAAATCTGATTGCCAGACCTTCCAAGTGTCCCTATTTTCCAGGGTCAGTCCAGAATCTACAAAAGCCGTCCTGGTTTCTGATTTGATCCCAGAAAGTCCCACTTTTCCTTAGATCGTCCCAATTTCAATCTGAGAAATGTTGGCGGGTATGGAGTTATTGAACCCAGAAACCATTTGAAGACAGCCCTGTAGAGCCATGTTTTTAATGTTTAATGTTTTATTATGCTTTTATATATCTTGGATGCCACCCAGAGTGGCACCCCAGTCAGATGGGCAGGGTATAAAGAGTTAAATTATAGGATAGGAGGTCCCGATTTTCATTGGAGAAATGTTGGTGTGTACGTTGACAGGCATCTGCCCGAGAGTCATATTTTCCCACCTGGTAACTTTCCATGGGTCCCATGTCACAGGTGGGTGGGGCCAGAGGCAAAGTTGCCATGAATGGATATTTTACCTCTCTACTGTAGTCTAGTCCCCCCAACACTCACTATCCCCCATCCATGAAATGAGAGGCATCAGCGGAATGCTAGGGCCCATCCTTGCCAGGCAGAAACCCTTGGGGTGCAAGCAGAGCCAGTGGAAGGTGTGGCTAGAGGAGAGTGGGTGTGGCCTAGAGCAGTGGCACAGTGTGTGGGGGGGAATGGGGTGGTTGCCCCAGATACAAAATTGTAAGGGGCACAAAAATTTGCACACTTGGTGCTACCTCAATACAACTGCACACTTCCGTAATGTGCTCCCTTGAAAAAAGGTTCTCCATGTGAAGTTGACCTCTCCAAACAATGGAGCGACTCTTATTTTCTTGTCTCTTTGACTGCAATGTCCTGGGTGATGCGGAGGCTGTTAGGCAGTTGAATGTACATGCGTACTTTATCCGTTTCCCTTCCACCCCCTCTGCACTTGGCCCCGGGCGCTGCAACCCACGCTACACCACTGGCCTAGAGGGCCAGACAGAGACACATTGCTCTTTCAGCTTGAGGTTCCTCACCTTGTTGCAGATTGATGAGCTGCTTCCACAAGTGACTAATGCTGACAGGTGCTGTCGATGGCTTCTGGCTAATTGCCCAGGAAATCAGAGAGGCAGACAAAGAGCCAGCTTTCCAGTGACGTCCTTTGCGATGTAAAGATTAGGCACTCTCCCTGCTTCTCGTCTTCCATTGTTTTTCCTCAGGCACCTCAGGAGCTCTAGGTCCACTCTCCCCTCAACTGGGCAGAGAGTCAGGGGAGAGGGAGAGGGAGCGGGAGAGGGAGAGGGAGAGGGAGGGGGGAAAATCTCTAAAGGCTACTCGATCTTCTGCACCCTGACCCTCAAGTCTGCCTTGATAATGTACCGAGTACCCAGATGGGATCAGCTGGGTGAGACCAAATCCACTCTGCTCTCAGAGGTGCTTCAACTGGTTTGGCCTAATTGGGCACCGTGCCATAGGAGGTGCCACACCAATGCTGTAGAACGATGGATGAGAGGTGGGGGCATGTGCTAAATTTTAGCATCGCACAAGGCGCTGCTGAAATCTGAGAGCCCAAAGTACGCCACTTATGTTGTCCCAATCAGGTCTCAGTGATACCGTTCTTGTCACTGTTGCAGGCTGCGTGTCTTTTCATCACAATCTCTGCTCCTCACATGTCAGAAAGTGGCAGCAGAGACTGTGCCTTTTGAAATACCGAGAATGAATGTTTTCTTCACCAAGTTTATGCAACAATTCAAAGCTCAATAGTTTTGTACAGCGGAGGTATGGAAACCCTGGCCTTTCCGAAGTTGTGGGGCTCCAACTCCCATCAGCCCCAGCCAGCAAGAGCAATAGAAGGATGCAAAGAGCAGGCGGACCAATTGGCCCCTTTCTGTGCAGGAGGACATAGACTAGGTTGTCCAGGTTAGAAAAAGATAAGAATACAAGAAAAATTCACAACCTTACATTAAACTATAAAAAGTTAAGATACAAAGAAAGTCTGAATTTTCTAAGGCGTTTTAAGAATTAGGAGTTTTTTTCATTCCTACACAGTGCTCTATCTATAAAGCCCAGGTTAGGAATGTTCCCAAGTGATGTTCCACACTATAAAAAGCAGTGTTCCCAGAACCCTTCCTGATAGACGTCTTACAGCAAAGAGTTCCTTCATGACTGTCTCATCACATCCAGTCCTGCTGCTTTGAGAAAGCTCATCTATGCAAATCTGCCCTTGGGCCCTTGGACTGAACGTCCCATAATGCTCTGCAGGATCTGCAAATCCCAATAGAGGCAATCGATGATCGCGGAAGATATTTGCATGAAGGGGCAGCTCTTCAGCTCTGGGGGATTTAAGAGAGGAGTGAGGAAGTTTCCTTCAGATGTTGAAACTCCCCTGCAGATCTCACCATCATGTCTTCCTTTCTCTTTCTCTTTGCTCTTTTTATTTACTGCTCAGGTAAAGCTGTGGAGAAGATCTCATGTTCTATTGGCCAACCAAAAGCTAACTGCATTTATCATTTTTATTTATTTGAGAGCACTAAAAATGTTCCCCTTTCTCCATATTTTTTTAAACAGGAGTCACCTGCCAGTCAGTTTGCACTCAGCCTGCCTCTGAGTCTGTGTCGCCGGGTCAAACCATTAAACTCTCCTGTACTACTAGTGATACTGGCTCCTACATTGGCTGGTATCAACAGAGATCAGGGCAGGCCCCACGCTTTGTGCACTGTGAAACTTGCAGCAGGGGAGAAGGGATCCCGGATCGATTCACCGCTTCTCGCTCTGGGAACATTGGCTATTTAACCATCACCAACATCCAGGTTGAAGACGAGGCTGTTTATTACTGTGGCAGATGGTACAGTGGCAAGTTCCACAGTGATGCAAACTGATGGGGAACTGAGACAAAAACCTTTCCTCTCCCACCAAAGAGCAGTGAGATGTGAATACCAAAAACAAACATCATCTAATCTGTGTCTACATCTGTTGTCAAGTCCATCCTACTCTGGATGGAACCAGAAGAGACAGAAAACTCTGAAGCCCCACCTCCTTCCTCACAGCAGGACCTTGGAGCTGCCAGCCCAGCACACCCTCAAGTCAGCCCTTCCCAGTGGATGAAAGATCTGCTTTGGGAAAGTCAGGCTGTAGATTTCATATCATTGCAAAATAGGAGTCTGTTTTAGGAATTGTGAGCTATAGCATAAATGTCACCTGTGGATTGCTAGGTTGGTCTTCACTGAGCATATTATAATATCATTATTATTTACTAAGCATTATCATTATGATTACTATTATTACAGGCTCAGGTTGTATAAAAAGGTAAAGGAACCCCTGACCATTAGGTCCAGTCGTGGCCGACTCTGGGGTTGCGGCACTCATCTCGCTTTATTGGACGAGGAAGCCAGCGTAAAGCTTCCGGGTCATGTGGCCAGCATGACTGAGCCGCTTCTGGTGAACCAGAGCAGCACACGGAAACGCCGTTTACCTTCCTGCCGGATTGGGACTATTTATTTGCTTGCACTGAGTGCTTTCAAACTGCTAGGTTGGGAGGAGCAGGGACTGAGCAACAGGAGCTCATTCCGTTGCTGGGATTCGAACCGCCGACCTCCTGATCGGCAAGTCCTAGGCACTGTGGTTTAACGCACAGCGCCACCTGCATTCCTTCAGGTTGTATATATGTGTATATAAAATACATATCATAAAGACACCACAATCTCCAATGGGCCTCATTACGAATGGAAAGACGAACCCTGGGAAACACTTGGAACCACTGGAACCTCCCACCACTTGGAGATTGGGGTGGCTTGCAAAAATAGGCTTTGTGCCTGCAGTTGCTGTCAAGTCTAGCTTCTTCCGCATAGAACTTATAAGAGAAAAATAGCAAATTTGAAGTCCCCCCTGCAGTACTGCTGGTACTGCAGCTACAAGGACTTTTATGCTTTTTCCATGATTCTAGACATGAGTCTGCCTGGTTTTGCCTTTGCCCTGCTCCTTTCCCCTGGAAAACCTGCTCTTCACCCCTAAATTGGAACAACCAGCAATCCGTGGAAAGTCCGACTACCATATGCTGCCATTCAGCAGTAAATTGCAGGTTTTCCCTGGGAAATAAGCAGGGAAACGGAGCGGTGCCCTTCCATTTTGATCAAAGTTGTCGTTTTGGAAAGGCTTGTGAGTTTATATCTATTTAGATCCTTTTTAGGAGATGTGAAATATTACAGACAGGCATGCCAATTGTGGAGTGGGCTGCCTAAAATATATTGTCAAGGAGGGGCCAGGCCCCACAAAGAACCCCAGCGGATGTGCGCACCCACCGCGGGGCATGCTTGCGTCACTTTTGCAAGCTGCAGGGCATGTGCACAACATATCAGCACACGCCATGACATTCGTGAGGTGACGTCAGAACTGAGTTTGTGCCGCCCTGGGCCTGTCAATTGCAGGGACAAGGGGTGCCCTTGATGGCAGAGATGCTATTTTCCAAAGCATACTTTCCCGGACAGTAGGAAGCTGCTGTCACCATCCCTACCGCTTGGGAATTTCCCTTGGATCTTGTCCCTGCTGAAGGTCACGTGCCTTTTGTTCACAATCTCTGCTCCTTAGAAGCAGGCTGCAGAGAGCGTCTCACTGGAAATGTTCTCTGTCCCAATATGTTCTGCAATACAGTAATGTGAGCCTTAATACAGCAGGTGAGGGGAAACGGTGGCCTTTCAGAAACGCTTGGACTCCCATCAGCCCCAGTCAGCATGGCGAATGGCCACACACATTTGGGCCTTTCTCCAAGGTGTTGCTAAACTCTGAAGCTGCCTCTTGCTTGTCTGGAGGGACGATAGAAAGAGATGTGTGAAGACACTTCCGCAGTAGACAGAAGTAAAATTTAGAACTATAGCTCCACCCACTTGTTCCTCTGGTCTCTCCTACCATTGGCAGGTGCCCTGCTCAGTCCATGGCTTTAACCAGCCTCTTCCCCCCCTCCCCCAGACCTGAAACTAGCATTTTTTTCTCACCAATAGCTTAGAAACCTTTACCTTTTGTAACTAAGCAACATTTTTCATATTTCCTGACTGGTGATTTACTGCTGGCTCACTCCCGTCACTAACCCATTCCTATTTTACTTTTTTAAAAAGAAAGAAAGAAAATCTGTCCTATTCTCCTCTGTTTGAATGTCCCACAATGCTTTACAGGAACCTGAAATTCTAGGAGTGGCGTTTGGTTATCCACAGAACACATTTGCATGAAGGGGAAAGCCTTCAGCACTGGGAAATTTAAGAGAGGAGAGGGCAAGATCCACTCAGAAAGGCAAATTCCCCTGGAAAGCTCACCATGGCCCTCCCTCAATTCATCCTTGCTATTTTCGTTTACTGTTCAGGTAAGGCTGTGGAAGTGATCTCTTGTTCAAGAGGCCAAGCCAAAGATATTTGAATCTATCCCAGAAACATAGTGCTTTGTGGGTGTTTGTGAATGCTGAAAATGAAACGAGGTCCTCATCTTTGTTTTTTCTGTTGTTGCTTCCTCCTACAAAGGTGTCTCTTCACAGTCAGATCCGACTCAGCCTGCCTCTGAATCCGTGACCCTGGGACAAACGGTCAAACTCTCCTGTACTTCCAGTAACCGTGGCAGCAACTACATTCATTGGTATCAACAGAGATCAGGACAGGCCCCTCGCTTTGTGCAGTATGATGGTAGCAGCAGGGGAGAAGGGATCCCGGATCGATTCACCGCTTCTCGCTCCGGGAACATTGGCTATTTAACCATCACCAACGTCCAGGCTGGAGATGAGGCTGTTTATTACTGTGGCAGATGGTATGGTCTCACATCCCACAGTAATACAAACTGATGGGGAAGTGTGACAAAAACCTTTCTTCTTCCACCAAAGAGCAGTGAGATGTGAATGCTTAAAAAGAACTTCCTATGCTTTGTGCTTGCAGCTGTTGTCAACTCATGGGTAGATTTGCTTTACTGGCCATGATCGGCCATACAGACAGCTTAATCAACACAGATCCCACCACTGCAGGGCACAAACAGAGAGTGAACAGACCCCAAACAAGTTCTTGGTAGATCAGGACAGACGCTCCAAGTGTCTCTATTTTGAAGGGACAGTCCTGGATTTACAGAAGCCGTCCTGGTTTCTGATTTGATCCCAGAAACTCCTGCTTTTCCTCAGAACATCCCTATGTCCATAGTAGAAATGTTGGAGGGTGTGGAGTTATTTCACCCCCAAGCCATCTGAAGACAGCCCTGTATAGGGTGTGGAGTTATTGGACTCCCAAACCATCAAAAGGCAGCCATGTATGGGAAAGTTTTTAATGTTTAGTGTTTTATTATGCTTTTATATATGTTGGAAGACAGCCAGAGTTGCAACGCAGTCAAATGGACAGGGTATAAATGGTAGAATTATTATTATGGGATAGGACTTCTCTGTTTTCATTGGTGAAATATTGGAGGGTATGTTGACAAACATCAGCTCCACAGTCACATTCCCCACCTGGCAGCTTTCCATGGGACCCATGTTACTGGTGGGTGGCCCAGAGGCAAAGGTGCAATGAATGGATATTTTACCTCTCTACTGTAGGCTCCCTGATCCTCAGGTCTGCCCTGATACAGCACCGAGTATCCAGATTGGCCCAGCTGGGTGAGACCAACTGCACTCTGCTCTCAGAGGTGGTTCAACTGGTTTCGTCGAATTGGGCATTGTGCTACAGGGGGTCCCACACCAATGCTGTGGAACGGAGCATGAGGGGGAGGGGCATGCGCCAAATTTTAGCATCGCACAGGGCGCTGCTGAAATCTGGGAGCCCAAAGACCGCCATTTCTGCTCTCCCACGCAGGTCTCAGGGAGCCTGTTCTTGTCACTGTTGCAGGCTGTGTGTCTGTTCATCCCAATCTCTGCTCCTCATATGCCAGAAGGTGGCAGCAGAGACTGTGCCATTGAAAACCCGAGAAAGAATGTTTTCTTCAATAAGTTTAAGAAAGAACTTAAAGCTTAATAATTCTGTACAGTGGGGGTAGGGAAACTCTGGCCTTTCAAATGTTGTTGGACTCCAACTCCCATCCGCCCAGCCAGCGAACGGAAGAGAAGCATGCAAAGAGCAGGTGGACCAATCGGCTCCTTTCTGTGCAGGAGGACATAGACTAGGCTGCCCGGAGTGCGCAGCTCGGTTTGTGCAGTCCTGACTAGTGGGTGTTCTTCCCCTCTTTTGAACTTCACAGTTATTTGTTTCACCGATTCATTTCATAATATTTCTACACCACTTGATTGTATTCAAAATGCCTCAAAGGTTACAAAGAGATAAGAAAAGAAAAGAAAATGAAGAAGAATTCACAACATTACTTTAAAAGATAAAAAGTAAAAATACGAAGACAGACTGAACTTTCTAAGACATTTTAGGAATTATGAGCTTTATTTGTTCCTACACAGTCATCTGTCTATCCAGCCTGGGTTAGGAATGGTCCCAAGTGAGATGTTCCACACAATAAAAACCAACCTATTAAAAGCATTGTTCCCAGGACCCTTCCTGATAGATGTCTTGCTGCAAAGAGTTCCTTCATGGCTGTCTCATAAGACACTGTTTGAACTAAGGGCCAGTCTTGCTGCTTTGAGAAATCTCATTTATGCAAAATCTGCCCATGGGCCCTTGAACTGAATGCTAGGGCCCATCCTTGCCAGGCAGAAACCCTTGGGGTGCAAGCAGAGCCAGTGGAAGGTGTGGCTAGAGGAGAGTGGGTGTGGCCTAGAGCAGTGGCAGAGTGTGTGTGGGGGGAATGGGGTGCTTGCCCCAGACACAAAATTGTAAGGGGCACAAAAATTTGCACACTTGGTGCTACCTCAATACAACTGCACACTTCCGTAATGTGCTCCCTTGAAAAAAGGTTCTCCATGTGAAGTTGACCTCTCCAAACAATGGAGCGACTCTTATTTTCTTGTCTCTTTGACTGCAATGTCCTGGGTGATGCGGAGGCTGTTAGGCAGTTGAATGTACATGCGTACTTTATCCGTTTCCCTTCCACCCCCTGCACTTGGCCCCGGGCGCTGCAACCCACGCTACACCACTGGCCTAGAGGGCCAGACAGAGACACATTGCTCTTTCAGCTTGAGGTTCCTCACCTTGTTGCAGATTGATGAGCTGCTTCCACAAGTGACTAATGCTGACAGGTGCTGTCGATGGCTTCTGGCTAATTGCCCAGGAAATCAGAGAGGCAGACAAAGAGCCAGCTTTCCAGTGACGTCCTTTGCGATGTAAAGATTAGGCATGCTCCCTGCTTCTTGTCTTCCATTGTTTTTCCTCAGGCACCTTAGGAGCTCTAGGTCCACTCTCCCCTCAACTAGGCAGAGAGTCAGGGGAGAGGGAGAGGGAGAGGGAGGGGGAAAAATCTCTAAAGGCTACTCGATCTTCTGCACCCTGACCCTCAAGTCTGCCTTGATACTGTACCGAGTACCCAGATGGGTTCAGCTGGGTGAGACCAAATCCACTCTGCTCTCAGAGGTGCTTCAACTGGTTTGGCCTAATTGGGCACCGTGCCATAGGAGGTGCCACACCAATGCTGAAGAACGAAGGATGAGAGGTGGGGGCAGGCGCCAAATTTTAGCATCGCACAAGGCGCTGCTGAAATCTGAGAGCCCAAAGTACGCCACTTCTGTTGTCCCAATCAGGTCTCAGTGATACTGTTCTTGTCACTGTTGCAGGCTGTGTGTCTTTTCATCACAATCTCTGCTCCTCACATGTCAGGAAGAAAAATTCACAACCTTACTTTAAACTCTAAAAAGTTAAGATACAAAGAACGACTGAACTTTCTAAGACTTTTTAAGAATTATGAGCTCTTTTCATTCCTATACAGTCCTCTATCTATAAAGCCCAGGTAAGGAATGTTCCCAAGTGAGATGTTCCACACTATAAAAAGCAGTGTTCCCAGAACCCTTCCTGATAGACGTCTTACAGCAAAGAGTTCCTTCATGGCTGTCTCATCACATCCAGTCCTGCTGCTTTGAGAAAGCTCATCTATGCAAATCTGCCCCAGGGCCCTTGGACTGAACGTCCCATAATGCTCTGCAGGATCTGCAAATCCCAATAGAGGCAATCGATGATCGCGGAAGATATTTGCATGAAGGGGCAGCTCTTCAGCTCTGGGGGATTTAAGAGAGAAGTGAGGAAGTTTCCTTCAGATGTTGAAACTTCCCTGCAAATCTCACCATCATGTCTTCCTTTCTCTTTCTCCTTGCTCTTTGTATTTACTGCTCAGGTAACGCTTTGGAGAAGATCTCATTTTCCATTAGCTAACCAAAAGCTAGCTGCATTTATCATTTTATTTATTTGAGAGCATTTGAAATATTCCTTTTTCTGATTTGTTTTTAAACAGGTGTCACCTGCCAATCAATTTGCACTCAGCCTGCCTCCGAGTCTGTGGCACCAGGTCAAACCATTAAACTCTCCTGCACAACCAGTGATACTGAATCCTATGTTCGCTAGTTTCAACAGAGAACAGGGCAGGCCCCTCGATTTGTGCAACGTGAGGGTGGCAGCAGGGGAGAAGGGATCCCGGATCGATTCACCGCTTCTCGCTCTGGGAACATTGGCTATTTAACCATCACCAATGTCCAGGTTGAAGACGAGGCCATTTATCACTGTTGCAGAAAGTATGGTAACACGTTCCACTGTGATGCAAAGTAATGGGGAAGTGTGACAAAAACCTTTCCTCTTCCACCAAAGAGCAGTGAGATGTGAATACTGAAAACGAACTTCATCTAATCTGTGTCTACATCTGTTGTCAAGTCCATCCTACTCTGGATGGAACCAGAAGAGACAGAAAATTCTGAAGCCCCATCTCCTTCCTCACAGCAGGACCGTGGAGCTGCCAACCCAGCACACCCTCAAGTCTGCCCTTGCCAGTGGATGAAAGAGCTGCTTTGAGAGAGTCAGGCTTCAGACTTCATATCGTTGCCAGATGGAAGTCTCTTTTAGGAATTGTGAGCTATAAGAGAAATGCCACCTGCTGACGGCTAGGTTGGGTCTTCATTGAGCCTATTGTAATGTCCTTATCATTTTCTGAGCAGTATTATTATTATTATTAGTAGTAGTAGTAATAGTAGTAATGCAGGCTCAAGTTGTGTGTGTGTGTGTGTGTGTGTGTGTGTGTGTGTGTGTCTGTGTGTGTGTGTATATATATATGTGATGGGATGATGAGCTGCTTGTGCGTAAAATCGTATCCCCTCAGAGTTTGTTCAAGTCCACAAACCTCTGTCTGTGACGGAGCCCCTCAGACATGGCTGCTCTAGTCACTAGCAGATTCCGACAGTGGTTGCTTTCGTAATCGCTTCCAACATAAAAGCTCCTTAACGGAAACACGTCTTCTGGAATCTCTGCGTGACAGTTTCCGGCGAGGAGTGGGTGTTCTTACAGGAGGTTCTGAAACCTCCCCACTGTTTCGCTGGAAGTGTCTCTGAGCCATCCCTCCAGCTCAGCTCCTCTCCCCTGCTGGTTCCCTCTTCAGCTGCTGCGTCTCTCCCAACCTGTGTGAGCCCTTTCACCTCCCTGTTGGTTCCCTCTTCAGCTGCTGCGTCTCTCCCAACCTGTGTGAGCCCTTTCACCTCCCTTCCGTCCGATGGCAGTTCCCTGACATCCACCTCCCCTCCAGGGCCCCCTTCACCCCCTCTCGCCCCCTCCTCTACGGGCGGTGAGGAGGCAAACCCGGAATGAACTTCCTTCATCTTCCGATGTCTCGAACACTTCTCTCAACCTGTTGCGGTTCCTGGTCTCGAAGTACACCTCCTCCTCAGAGTCTATCTCCCCTTCCCCTTCCGAGTCCGGGAATCCTTCCAACT